TTAGAAAGCAGGCCCACAGAAAATCCGACTGCACACAGCAATCTCTACATCCTGGCTGGACATGAAAATAGTTACTAAGCAACGGTAACCTAACGCAAATAACAGAGTGAATTTGCCACACGAGGAGCGAAGAAGCATTAGGAAACTTAATACAAACAGGACTGTGACTTTCTTTTCTTGACACTTAAATGATGTTGGTTTAGGGTGGAAATCAATACATTTTTGCAGCTGGGAACAGCTGGTTCTGTCTTTTTGCCACTGTGTGGTTGGTTATATTGAGTTTGCTTAATAAAAGCTATGAGATAGATAGCCCTTTACTCATTAGTTATAGGGAAACAGAGCCTTTAAAAAAGTGTTATGCAGTAAAGGTGCCATAAACTGTTAAATATTTTACTTCCCTTGGATTTTCCTTATGTTCTGTAGATACAGTGCTGGCTGTTTCCCTGTTTTATACTGAGTCTTATTCTTAATAAAACAGATTTGTGTAGGAAGTGAAAGTATCTGCAAAGCTTTTTGGTTTTAAATCTGCCATTCAGTATGGCTTTGTATAATAGATTATTTAATCCTTATTTATTAATCTGCTGCTAGAATGGTGTAATGTGTCTAACTATTAGCAAAGGAAGGTTGCAGAGCAGCTTACAATTATTTTTCTTTTTTTTTACAATTGTATAAAGATTTGATTTTTTTTCTTGTAGGGATGTAGTGCATTACTGAGGGGAATGTTACAATGTCAGTTGATCTTGTAAAAATGCAGTTTTGTACAACAGAATATTTTGTATTGATTTTTTTGCCTGCAGAATTGCCATAAAAGGGATTTTCTTATTTACTAGCTGTAGGGTATGTGTACACAAAATAGAATATTGATATCAGACTTGTTGCTACTGGGTGGGTGTGTTCAGGATACATATGTGTGTGTGTGCATGTGTGTTAAGTTGACCGGCAGTGTGTATTTTTTTTATATATATATATTTATATATATATAAAAATGTACAAAATATATATGCTTTATTTTCATAAATTAGGGATATGCCTTGTGACATGAAAGGGAAACTGTACCTGGTTATCATCCTTAATGAATGAAAGTATCATGTATCAAACTGCCCATGACGTATAGTTTATTTATGCTATTCCAGAGGGGATCCTATAGGGATAACTGAGTTTACGAGCTTCTTTTTTTGTACGGCATCCAAATGTTGTCAGTCAGAGGGTCATTTAGAAATGGTTATTTCCCCAGCTGTGTAGTATAAATAAATATGATAAGAACCAGTATTCTATATTCAAGCTTTTCATCACTTTTTCCCTTTCCCTATTTGTCACCTGCATTTTTCTTTCTCTCTTCATTTCTCCATTCAACAGTCACATCGGTTCCTTTTGTCTTCCTCATTACTTACAATTCATGAGGTACCATTAAATAGAAATACAGACTGACTACAGGATAGCATCTGGTTTTACTACCTCACATTAACCTGCTAGCTTTGATGTAGGTAAACACGGTCCGTAGGCAGATACAGCAGCAGTTCATAATTTGAACTGAGGGGTTTTTAAATTAAATCTGACAGCATACTGCTGCCTTAGGAAAGACAGGTTAGAAGTTTCATCCATCATTGTAATAAAACAGTAAAGGTGTGTTAACAGCAGCTTGGCCTGTCTGGGGGCTCTGCTGACACAGCAGAGCCAGAGTGGTTTGATCTTTAACTCGCAACCTGAGGAATGGGGTGCTGGGTTGTCTGCTGAGGCATCAGACTACGTGATTCATAATTTAACATTGACGGAATTAACTCAGCACACGTGGTGACTTAGTAATGTCTTTTTGTTACTAGGTACAGCTGGAGTTTTGTGTTGTTCTGAGGGTCTGGGAGGGAAAAAATACCTGCACACAATTTAGCATTTTATACACTTAGCATTGTCATTCAAAACTAATTCTTGTTATTTATTTGATATTGAAATCAAGTCAAGCTTTTCAGTTCTTGAAACAGCAAGCAAAGTTTAATAAATAGTGAGTGTAGAGATAAAAAATAGTCCACAAACAATGTATTAAAGATGTTTTAAGTGGTCAGGTGTAGTTGGATCAGCAGTATTAAAAGCAGGCCATGCAATTTTTGTGTTTTAAAGAACATGAGTTCTTTAGTACTGAAGTTACTTCTCCATAGGTAACAGTGATTGATGATTAACCCTCAAATGGTATAACTTCTAGTCTACAAAGACTTAAAAAAAAAAAAAAAAAGAAGAGAAAGTGAAGCACCAGGTGTAGATGTAGAGCAAGCGCTTTCACTTAATTTACCTCATTCACTGCAGAAGGTAATTTTGGCTTAATTTTTGAAAACACATAAAGATGATCTCTAAAAGACTAGAAAAAAAATGTAAATAAAATATGAATATTTATGGGGAATAACTGGAGTAAATAACTGTTAGGTCGTGACATTGTCATGCAAAAATAATGAACTGAAAGTATTTTTCTTTGAATGACATGAATGGTGATTTGCGGAATCATAAAAAATGAATTTAGGAAAGTTCTTGTTTAAGCAAACCTCCTTTTTTAGCTGTTGAAGTGTTTGTAATGGCATATTCTGAAATGCTTTGACTGATTTTTATAGACAGTGGCATTTTTGGCATGATCTGCAAGATACTATTTCCCAGTGTAAAACCTCAGTTCTTACTCTTAGAGGGGTATAGCACAACAGATTTGCATGTTCCATAGCTGAACCAGCCAGTCTCAGTGACTCTGACTAGTGTAATTTGTATTTGTTAGACTGTTTTATGTTAGTCGGGTATTGTCTGTATCTTTGTTTTTCTAACATTTCAACCAAGGTTGAAAAAGCCTAGTGTGTGGGTTTGGAGTTTATAAAGCAAAAGCTAGCTCAGCCCCTCATCACTGTTTCGACAGCTGTTAAAGTATTAATTATTTGATGCACAAGGTTCATGTATTCAACTTGAAAGCCTTAAAACAATATCCCAGTGCTCTTTGAAGTGCAGACAGTATTTGAAGAGCAGCCTGTAGATTAGTCTTTTCTCATTTCCTAACCAAATTCATTGTGATTGAAAAATACAACTGTAATTGTGATGACATCTCTTTAAAAGATGAAAGGTACAACGCATCAGTGAGCCACTATATCTCTGAATGAAAAGGACAAGACTGGGAGACTTCTGAAATGTACTTTTTACCTTGTTTAGCCATTAGATTGTAACTGAAACTCTAACTGCACTCATTCCAGTTTGTATAACTAGGCTTTGTTCTACATAAATTCCTGTTGCAGTTCATTTCAGTCTATGCCAAATAAACTCTGCTTTATTTGATACCTAAATGCGGTGTGGTAGACTTGCTGGGAACAATACCTTATCAGACATATCTCAAAAGAATTCAACTGGGCTCTAGGTTTTATGGCAGTGGGAAGGGCATGATCTGGGCCTGAACACTCTTCTCAGTCCTGCTGGGTGCTTGGGAGCCACACGGCATCACCCACATACAGCAGGTTGACCGGAGGAAAGGGAGATCTATGGATAGTGCAGAAATGAGAAATCAGGTTAGCAGTGGCAAACCCTTTCCAGCTTTGTGCTGCCTGCCGCTCTGCTCCAGCACAGCCCTGCTGCCAGTTGCCTGGAGTCACCAAGGAACCCCTTATGAGTTGCTCAGCTTGAAAAGCAGAGGCTGGCTTGTGCCAGCACAAGCAGAACCTTGTGCCCGGTTCATCGGGCAGATGGCAAGGTGGCTGGTGGGCAATAAAGGAGGGTTGCTTAGAAAAAGAAAACATGAATGTGAGCATTTGATATTCTGCCCCTGGACACAGCTTGGCCTCAGCAGGATATACAGCAGTTTGTACAAGCCTTGCTCTTGTGTAGTGGCCACCTGTGCACTTAAGACCTTAAGAACATGTAGTTCCACCCTGGTGCCATAGGCAGGGACCTTCCCTAGACCAGATTGCTCCAAGCTCTGTCCAGCTTGGCCTTGAACATTGCGAGGGATGAGGCAGCCACAGCTTCTCTGGCCAAACCTGTTCCAGTGCCTCACCACCCTCACAGGAAAGAACTTCTTCCTTATGTCTAACTTAAATCTTCCCTTTTTAGCTGTACTAACTTAAATCTCCCCCTTTTTAGCTATACTATACTCCCTGACAAAGAGCCCCTTTCCAGTCTCCTTGTAGGCTTCCTTCAGATACTGTAAGGAAGTCTCCTCACAACCTTCTTCAGGCTGAACAGCCCAAATTTTCTCTGCCTTTATATGGGACGTCTGTGTCTGTAAAATCTACTGCTGGAAGCAATAGCCACCAAAAAAGTTCCATCAGGGTATGAGGGAATGGCTAAAGAGCTAGGGCCCTGAACAGGTGCATGAGGATAGGTAATGCCAAGGTAAGAGATGGAAATACTCACTGAAAGGGTCTAGCTCCTGGTGGGAAGCTCATGAGATGGCAGACACCTGAGGTGCTTGAACTGTACAGGGCAGAGATGTTCCTGGGAAATGCATCGTCTTCCGGGCCCCACACCAACCGTGGAGCTGGAACGTCGCTGTGGCAGCGCCCCACAGGATGCCTGTGCTTCCCAAACAGGCCACCCCTTACCTGTGCGGCAGCCAGGCCTCGCTGTGGAGCGGGTGCTGACCCTCGGAGGCCGCTACAGGAGAGTGCGGGTGCTGCCCGCTTTGGGGAGGTGTTCCCTCTTCCCCCCAACCTCCAGGGCGATCAGTAAAAAGCAGCGGCTGCTGTGAAACTGGGGAGCGCTGAGGGGGGGGCGAAGGCAGAATGGAGTTGTGGGACACGAGGCCTGAGGGAGGCGGGGGACTCCGGTGTCCCCGAGAGCGGCCATGGCCCGCTCCTTCCTGGGTTTGTGGTCCCCAGGGCGGTTCCTCCCCCGCTCCCCTCAGCGTCCCGGGGACACACGCCGACACTCGCCCGCGGGCCCCCCCGCTCCCTCAGGGCCCGCCCCAGCCACAGCGCTGGCGGAGGGCGGGCGGGGCCGTTGTCCGCGCCGCTGGGGTAACGGTGGCCGCGGGGGCCGCTGTTGGGCCCACAGTTGGGCCCGCAGAGGCGAGGAAGCTGCGGCGCCGCGCCGGCACTGCACCATGGAGCGGTACGAGAAGCTGGGCAAGGTCGGGGAGGGCTCCTACGGCGTCGTCTTCAAATGCCGCAACAAGGACACCGGGCAGATCGTGGCCATCAAGAAGTTCCTGGAGTCCGAGGAGGACCCAGTCATCAGGAAGATCGCCCTGCGGGAGATCCGCATGCTGAAGGTGGGCGGCAGACGGGCCCCCGGCCCCGCTGGCTCTCCGAGCCCCTCGCGTCATCCGCCCCGGGGACGGCTGGGGAGGGTGGGCTCCGCAGCGAACGGCACTGCTCCCGGTGTGGCGGCGGTGGACTGTTCCCCGCCATCGCGGCCGGCGTTCCTGAGGATGCTGCCCGGGAGCGGGTGTGAGGGAGGAAGCTCATCGTGAGAAGGGCCGTGAGAGCAGCCATGAAGAGACGGGGCGTCGTAAGGGGTGAAGCGAGGAGGCGGGATGTGAGGGAGCGGTATGTGAAGCGCCCAAGTCTGTCCGTTTCTCTGGCAGAAAGGCAGTGCCGGTGAGAGTCTGACCGTTCTGGCCAGGGACGGACATGCCTCGGGACGGAGGTGATCCTCCGCAGCCCACGATGTCACAGATCAGAGAATGGGTGCAGGTGGGAGCTGGGACGCTGCAGAGAGCGAGTTGCCGGCCGACCTCTGCGCGGGTGCGGGAGCACCAGCAAAGTCATCACTGTGCCCTCTTGAGCTGGGCTCTGTCCCCCATGCAGGCAGCGATGTCCTGGCCGGTGCAGGCACAGCTCTGCCCTCAGTGCGCTGTCGGCACCAGACAGGGGGACTGTTGAAGCTCTGGTAAAGTATGTGAACAAAAAGTGATCCCGGATAGCATGAGGTAGGGGACAGCCATGGGGCACAGCTCTCCTAGCTCTTTATAAATCTGCCCCAGCTCCTCTAACACACTTCTTCAGCCCCTGGTTGTGGGGGAATCTTCAGTGTCAGACCCTGACATGCAGGCAGTTATCCAGCCATGTACTGAATGTCAGGGGCTGTGTAGGCTCAGAGTTTTTCAGCTTACATGGAAGCAGCTGTAGAACCTGCACCTGTGAACCATGGCAGCACCTTGTCTTGGCTAATCATTTCCTGACTTTCCTCTGAGGACTTACCTCACATAGAAATGGGTTACTTATTCAGCCTCTGTGTTTATTTTTCTGGTAAAATAAAAGCATGAGGACATTTGCAGTAAGTTAGAGCCAAAGTCCATCAAGCATGCAGAAATGAGGAGAAACCTGGGAGAAAGAGGGAGAGGATGGGGTAAGATTTCCTTTCATAGACGTGTTTTTCAGGTGAAGTTTCTAGATCCAGAGGCTGTACCCATTGCTTCATGCTTACCAGACATTCATAAACTGGAGTTTGTTCCATCTCTTTTTGAACTGGTGTATTCATTTGGTCTCCATGGTTTCCTGAGGCAGTGAGTGCCGCAACTTTAGGAATGTCTTGTGAAAAAATATCTTTATATTTGTTATAAACTTGCTGATGGCCCATGGTACCCTCAGTTGTGTATTCCAAGAAATGGAGAGTTGTTCCCTTTTCTCCAGGGTACTCTACACCTCCATCATCTCTCCATCTCCAGCTTTCTCTTTTCCTTGCAGAAGAGCCATAGCTTTAAAACACTGATTAAAGAACCATATTGGCAGCATGTTGGTTTATTATACATTCTAAAATAATGGCTTCCAGTAGGAGTCCTTTTTACAAGAAAAGTGGCATTCAGATTAAACACAGTGCATGCTTGTAGACAGTCAATGATTTAGGATTTTGGAGTTAACAAAACCTGACAGAAATTCACAGGGAAATATGTTCCATTTTATTTAGAATTTCTTTCCCAAAATTCATAGTTCTCTGATTTCTGCACAATGTTCGCAGACTTCACTGCTTGTTGGTATTTGCATAGCATCAGTTGATTCTCGTTGCACTCAGTGTTCCCTTCCCTCGAGTTAGCTTCACTGGCTTCCTGGGAACCAATGCTTTCAGATTTGCAATTAAACACAAGATTTCAACAGGTTACAATATTTCTTGTATTTCTTTTCCAAAAATCTCTTTGTGCTTGACTTTTATAGCGCATTTATGTATAAACAAGTGGTATAAATGTTATTGCTAAAGGAATATGAAGGCCTGATTCTTTACTCACTGCAAAAACAGGCAAAATAAGCCTAGGGGGCACCCTAGAAGAGCTGTCATCCAGGAAAAAAAGGCATATTTATTTTTCAGTTGGATTTTGGGAAGAAGCAGTCTGTGTTTTTCTCCCATCTGAAGCAAACAGATGACAAGTAGCTTTATTAAACAAGGCTGGAGATGCATTAAGATGTAAATTATATTAAAGATCATAAAGGAAAATAATTGCAGAAGTCACTTTTAATGCAGATGATAAGTGCATCTTCCTTCAGGGTCCAAAGTTGACACTGCTGCCATGGCAGGATCAGTGTCAGGGCACTGTTGATTTTAACAAGTGCAGACCTGCTTGAGTAGCTTTTCAACTTTTCCTCTGTAAATAGTAACAGTTTGTTTGTTTGGTTGTTGAGGTATTTCCTGTCTTAGGCAACAAGTGTTTGTCAAGACGTAGAGAGACTGTGTTTCATCAGCAAAATTGTAAGGCCTTATAAATTATTATTCTACATAGTAAACACCTTATAGATAAGGGACTTTTGATGGCCCTGGGAGCCATGGGAGGTGGGGTGGGAGAGCGTGGTGGTATGCAGAGTCTTGAAGCACCCTGCGTGATCCTGATTCCATAGGAAAGGCCAGAAATATGTGAAAACAGCAAGTCTGTGTGTTCCCCCATCACTGCTGCTGTTTCTAGAAGGGTGTTGGTTCCCCAGCTGATAGTTTTTAGCTTTGACATTGCAAAGAAGATGAGAGAAAAATGCAATGCAAAGCTGCGTGCATATAGAAAATAGAAAATAATCCCTATTAGCCTAGCATGGGAGAATTTATAAGTTTTGGGGGAAAGCCCATGTCAGACATCTGACGTTTTTGTGGAAGGTGACATGTGGTCTTGTCACCCAAGCGGGGGACAGGGAGGGGATGCTCATCCTAGTGCTGCCAGCAACCAGCCACTGGCAGCTTTGGTAGCCTTAGAAACTGCTCTCTGAAACACCTCTCTACCTGACAGGGACATTGTTAGGATAACAGTGGCTTTGTGTGCATGCTTGCCTGCAGAAGAGATGCTGGCCCAGCCCAGTGAACCCAAATGCCTGGAGAGCCGTGTGCTTCCAAGTCCAGGCTTACTCTCTCCATAAACCGCACTCCACACACATGTCCTGATAGCCAGCACAGTCATGCTCCCAAGCACAGCATGTTCTGAAGCCTGACCCATACAACCAGCCTGTAACTGACAGAGGTTTTCCAGAGATCTCAATCTGTTACTGTTGATTTAACTTTCTTCTTGCTGTACAATCCTCACCTCTCTCTGAAAGTGGAATGTAAGCACTGCAGGGTTTATCTCCTCTGTTTCCCTCCTGCTGGCAGGCTTTCTGTGCCCAGCAGTTTGTCCATCCTGGCAGCCAGATCTGCTGAGGGTAGCAGAGGAATCAGGTGCCTGTTGCGCAGCATAGTTGATGGAGGCCCAGCTTGCTCTCGGGTATCTCTGATCAGTTATCACTGATCTGAGAACATAATATGGCAACACGCCGAATGCATGGAAAAGGAAGGCTCTGCATTATGCAGTGTATCAGGAGCTGCTGGTCTGGGCATTCAGAGCCACAGCAGCATTCTGACTTCTGTGGGGGAGTCTGAACTGGTAGACTGGGCTTTCTCTAATGTGCACGTGGTAAGTAGGTACTTTGTTCTATGTGAATATGCTTAACAGGCTAGGTAGCATGGCATGCACACAATTCCTGGGAGAATTGCTATCATTGCTGGAATTTTCAGCAGGCTTGCAGGCTGTTCTCTGTTCATCTTTTTTGAAGTGAATAAGGAAGTGGTGAGAATAGAGATACTACTAGGTAGATAGGAAAGTTTGAGAAGTGTTACAAGCCTCCTCCCTTGTGGCTTAGCAGCCTTGCCATAGGAACTGAGGGTATGCAGAGAAGTCCATCCATTATGTGAGGTCAGGAGACATGGTCAGGACAGAGAAGGTTACACTGAAGGTCAGTCCCTGCTGACACTGTTGGGTACCTTGTGCTAGAGAGGGAAGGCACTCAGTGTAAAAATACCACAGAGGACTGAAGAAGTACTCGGAAGGTCTTGGTTGTGACCTAGATTTGATCCAGATGGGTGTGAAGGTCTTTGATCTTGGCAGGTGCTTTACACAGTGTGAGCAGAATTGAAGGAACAAGCAACGTATGTAGTTAAGAGATGCTGTTTAGACAGACCAGTTCCTTGCTGCTGGTTTGCAGGACTGGAATAGCCACCTGTACACTACCAGGGATGCTGTGTGGTGTTGGCATATGGGCTTAGTGTAGTTTGGGTTCAGTATGATGTCCCCCAGAAGCAGTGAGCTCCCTGAAAGGTCTCTCTTTTCAAGAGGCTTTTATAGTGACATGCTTGGAGAAAATTACATTTTGCAAAGGGTCCCACAGTGCCCACTGGAGCACTGAAATGGCCCCTGTCATGTCCCTACTGTCGTGACAGACTGGCAATGAGGTATGGTGGGGTTTTCTACTGACCTGCTCTTTTACTCAAGCTCACTGGTTAACCTCAGGATTCAAGTTGTGGATTTCAGAGCTCCTTGCGGTTAACTGGGTGCTTCTCCAAACAGCTGCATTCCTCAGTTGGTACCCCTTACAGTTTTCTCTAGTTTTGACTCTCCTCTTCCTTCCACTTTGCAGGCTTTCCCAGATGTCTCACAGGCACATTAGAAAGTGGCATTAGCGTAACTCCTAGGCAATGCCCTTTCCAGCCTTCTTGCTTAGAAACATGTTTATTCTAAGCCTTGGTCAGGCAAAGCACTGGTGGATACAGGTCCCTGCAAGCAGAGGGGATGGTTCCATGAGTCATCAGAAAAGAAATAGCATTCCTCAGCTGGGTCTGGCTTTTGTTTGTTTTCTTTTCCGAGCACAATGTTATGCCCCTTGATTCAGGCCCTCTCCCAGCACTCCCTCAAAATGTGGGTAAAAGAACAGGAAATTAGAAGCTTCAGTAATGTCCACCCTCACCTCTTCCAAGGTGTGTTTGAACAACCATGCTGTGCTCAGTCTTTGTGTGTGGGAAGAAGCTGTCTCAGCTCCCCAGGAGAGGAAGCCTTGGTATGAGCACATGAAGCAGATTAAAAGGGAAAGGAGGGAGCAGCAATAAAAATTCTCCTAATTAACCCTCCCAGATTCTGACAATAAGTAGGTGAAGCTGAGCCCATCTGCTTTACTTACACTTACTAGAGGAGCTCTTGGTTTCTCCTAAACTTATGTTAGCCTGCTACAGGCTCTTACATGTGTGATTTCACAAGCTGTTCTCCAGGGAGAGCTGCTCTTCATTGTGGTGCAGTCGGGGGCTGCATATACAATGAAAGGTGCTGCTGGAATAGCTGTAGGCACCATGATGAATTCTGTATCTATGAGCATCTTTTCTAAGGGGCACTCACTGAAGCCAAGCTGACTTGTTACCCACAGTCAGTTCCTAAAATAACTACACCACAGGCTGAGCTATAGCTGAGCTGCTTCTTCATGTTGTCTTGTGCTTGCATAGAAGGTTTCAGCTTAAGAAATTGAGACCCTTGGGGGCAAAAGCACTGTCCCACCTCTTTACCCCACTCCCCTGTGCAGTAACTAACCACTCCATCCACTGTGTGTTACAGCAACTGAAACACCCCAATCTGGTGAACCTGCTGGAAGTGTTCAGGAGGAAACGCAGGCTGCATCTGGTCTTCGAATACTGCGACCACACAGTTCTCCATGAGCTGGACAAGCACCCCCAGGGGTGAGTGGCCTGTTTCTCACTGGGAGCTTTGAACAAAAGATTAAGGGGTGTCTATGGTGTTGCTGCTCTGCAGAGTTTTCAGAGGAATTTCATTAAGTACAGGAGAGGTTTCCCAGCCCAGTGCCCCGGACTTGCTTTGTTCCTGTGATGTAGCAATGATGTCCAAACGAATTGTGTATGAGCCTCTGCGTGTTGCTCACCAAGGAGACTGGAGCATTGAGCCTGAGTGTTTGGGTGCTCTTTGGCTGGCTTGGCAGCAGCAAACCCAAATGGCTTGGGAGCATCCTGTGTCTCACTGCAAAGAGGTTAGGGCTGCTGTGGGAGGTGGGCATTCCCCCTAGTGTGTTGCACGTCCATGTGGGCTGTGGGCATAGGGGGAGTGTCACTGAGCACCCAAATATACAAGTCTGTAGCAATGTCACTGATGATCTGTATGACAGACCAGTGACTTCTAGTGATGCTGCAGTGGTAAGGAGTAAGTTGGTGGCAGGAGTCACGAGAAGCTGTGCCTGCAACTCTCTGCACAGCCTCAGTGGACTCCCTGGTCAGATACCCTCTTCTTTAACAGGTGCTTGCACACAGTGTGAGCTACATGGGCAGAAGGAACATTCTCCAGGACAGGGTTTGTTCTTTTCACACATTATAAATGATACTCCCACTTAATAAATTGTCCCTAATTATTCATAGTGACTTGGTGCTATGGAAATGCTAAGCAGAAGTTCACAAATCATTTTACAGGCCTGGAGATAAATGAATTGCCTGCAGGAGACTAACTGGGGGTTGAGTAAACAGAGCCTGTTATTCTCTTTCTTCCTTATGGGGAGCTATAGAAGGAGAATGGAGCACACTGATAGGTAATGTCTTTGTGAGCTGATGAGCAACTTTCATCACAGTTTGAACCTGTTCACGTGGAATCTGAAGAGAGGGTGGATAACCCTCTTTGGAGAAAATACTTCACATTTACTTTCTGTTCATCAGAACAACTCCAGTGTGAATGAACATGTAACACCTGGTTGCATACTTTGCTTTTGATCTTTGCTATGGCAGATGGTCAAGTGTTTTGTGGTCAGGATTAAGGTAGGTGGGCACAGACCTCTTTGCATCATGTTCCCAGGTTATTTGACCAACTTCATCCCCTTGTCAGGCTGTCAGCACAGTACTTTCAGGGTGCTCTGGGATGTTTCTGCAAGGAAACTCCAGCATTGCACCAGCACTGTCAGAGCAAGACCTTCAGTGCTGTCAGCAGAAGGTGCCTTACAGAAAAACCCAGAATTCCTGCAAATTCTTTTGGATATTTTTTTGTTTTTAATTTGTGATGAATCAGAAGCTTTTCAGCATTAAATACATGAAATAAAATGGTATTTGAGTTTGGAAGTGCCAAGATTGTCACTTCTTCCTTTCCTGAGGTTGTTAAAGATGCTTACAGGCTGACAAGAAAGTTTAAGAACTGTTGCACAGTAATTGAAAGAGAGGAGAGGAGGCTGGATCTTTCGCAGAGTTTTCTTTCTCTGAAGTGTTTGCCAGCTGCTGGAGGGAAGAAGAGGAGATGCAAACAGAAGTAGAGCTTTATACTCTTGTAGGAACATCCTTCCCCATCCCATTTTGGTCACCTCTCCTCTCTGGACAATCAGTGACATGACAGCATTGCAAGTCGTGCGTTTATACCCCGGATATTTCACCACTTCCAACTCTGAGCAGCTGCAGAGGCAGAAATGCTTGCTGGTGTTTTGGGATTGCCAGGAAGCATGGCTGCTAAGCACAGCCACAAGGCAGGATTTGACACCGACTTTCATGTGTTGATGTGTGGTCATCAGCTGGCAGACTTCATGCTGGCTGTGATTGAGTGGTACCAGACCTGCTGGCATGCTCTTACCTGACATAAATCCTTCTATCTTGTTGCACTGACTGGATTTGGAAGTGGTATTGACATTCCTTTTGACGCTCCTGTGATGCTTGAAGGGCAGTCTCAGAGGAGAGCGTTGCTTTGTGCAGGGATGCACCTCAGCCTCAGCTCTGAAACCTGGTAAAAGGTACAAACAGGCTTCACCACCAGCCGCCCAGCATGACAGGTTAGCTGCACTGGAAGATCAACAAACTGAGGGTTATTATGTGTTTCTTATAACTTACTTATAGCAAGAAAATGTGCCTAGTGTTTTTCCTCTAAGTTTTCTGACCTGATCCTGATGGTTTTGGTCACAGAATCCTGTGCAGTGTTAGCACTCAAAAGGCCTCTACTTCCTTTTTCCTGCAACAGTGAAGTTATTTTTAATGGCCAAAATAAAAATGTGCTTTTTTAAAAACAGGGTGCCGGAACATCTAGTGAAGAGCATAATCTGGCAGACCCTCCAAGCTGTGAACTTCTGCCATAAACACAATGTAAGTCCCCTAAACAGCACTACTGATTGCTGTAAATGTGGCCTTGGAGGAATGGAGATTCTGTTGCTGTTTTCCTCATGACATGGTTTTCATGGGATGAAGTCAGATGAAATTTCCTGTTTTCAACAAGAAACATGTATCTGAAATACTGGTGTATACCCGCAACAGCTGCATTCCCTATCACGCAGGTCCCTTGGGTTTGCTGTCAAGGAATGATTTGCACTAATGACCTTGGATAAGCTTCCAGGCTGAGCAGGTATATATCCCTTTGTGTTCCCAGTGCCACTGACATTTAGAAATCTGGCTTAACATCTCATCAGCTGAGACCTGAGCAAAGTCCTGGTGATTTCACAAAAAGCCCTTCTGTTGATAGTCATAGGTATTGAATCATGACACCAGCTAAAAAAGTTACAAATATTAGATTCAATAAACCAGTTTTACAACCCCTCTTCTGCTTTCTGGAGGGAGGTGAGTGTTCTGTGAGTGACACATACTTCATAGAAAGCAGTAGGGATTCTTTAAGAAGCAGGGAAAGAAAGGAGACTTTTGTAGAAGTTCTGTAGGCAAACTTAGTTGTAATTGTCTTTGGTTTTGTTTATTTTCCAATGTGTGAGATTTAAGAGTCGAGCAGGAGATCGGTCTGGAATGGGTGTTTTGTCTTTGCTGGGAGAATTATGTCCAGTTGAACCACAGGAACTTGGCCATAGGTCTGTCTTGCTTCCAAGATCTGTTGTTTCGCTTCTTTTTTCTATTCTCCCACTCAGTCTGAAAGATTTAATGGAGTTTTAAAGCAGAGGGAACAATGAGATGCTGCAGTCTGACCAGCTGTAGATCACAGGTAATGAAGTTTTATGCAGCTGCCTTTTTTGGAACTCCATGACACCGGTGTAACATGCAGCATTTCAGTCCTCAGGAGGAGACACAGTAATCTACCAGCTTAGCTAGGAAAAGTCCGATGTGTTTGAGCTGAGGTGATGGTAGGGGAGAGACAACGTGAGCTAGACCCTGGTGATTTCAGTAGAAAACACCTTTTGTAAATTGGCAGAAGAAATTAAGGTTGCTGCTAGTTTGATCAATAGAAACTCTTTGCCAAGCCCCAATTCAGTTGTTGTGAACCTTCAGCAGGCAAGGTCAACCTCCCAGGAATCACAGAATTGCTGATGTTGGAAGGGACCTCTGGAGATCATCTCATCCACACCCCCTTCTCAAGCTGGGCAGCCAGCGCAGGCCGCTCAGAGATTTTTCCAGTCAGGGTTCAAGTACCTCCAAGGATGGAGGCTCCACAGACTCTTTGGACAGCCTGGTTTTCTTTACTTCTTCCAATCAGGTATTTATGCACATTGATTAAGATCCCCCCTGAGCCTTCTCTTCTCCATGTTGAATGAATGATGGTCCCATCTCGCTCATCCTCTCCTTAAATACCAGATACCTCAATCCCTGAATCATTTTAGTGGCCCTTCACTGGAGTGACTCCAGTATGCCCACATTTTCCTCCTACTGAGGATCCCAAAGCTGGACACAGAACTCTGGATGTGTCTCACCTGTGCTGCGTAGAAGGAATACCAGGCATGCTCTGGCATCTGCAAGGATAGATAAAGTCCCATATATAAAAGGTAGCCTTCATCTCATCTGTAAGTTTTGCCAGCAAAATCACTTGCTTGTCTACTAGATTATCAGTAAATACAGGTCATGGACTTGTCCAAGATCCTAAAGGACCTAAACACCTCTCATTAGGATCTCCTTACATATTTGTAAACCCAAGTCCCTTTTTTAGGAGTGTGTTTCACATAGCTGTTTCAAGTGAGTTGCATTTGCAGAGAGCCAGGTTAACAACAATCCTTGTTATGCAAACCTCGCTCCTCCTTCTAGCAGATTCCCAGCTAGTTCTGGGGAGCTGACTTGGTGTTGTCCAAGTGATACAGAGCTATGCAGTTGGACCTGGGAGCCTGTAGTGTCTCATCCCAAAGGTGGGGTATAGTCAGGGTAATCATCCTGCTCAGCAGGACGTAGCTTTAGCTGCTATTAAGAAATCCTTCCGTCTTCTCTTTCAGCAGGAATGATTGCCCAGCACAATGTGCAAGGGCTGTGCAGCTGAATTAAGAGGTTCTTTATCTGATGGCCAGGTTAAAGACTTGCTTCTAACCTTGGGGTTTTTTCCATTTCCAGTGCATCCACCGAGATGTAAAGCCAGAAAACATCTTGATAACAAAGCACTCGGTCATCAAACTTTGTGACTTTGGATTTGCTCGCATACTGAGTGAGTGCCACATGCTACTTATACAGGTTGTTAACACTTGAAAGCTCAAAGAAAGTGTAGGATCAGGCTTCCAAACATCAGTAAAGACTAACTTGTCTTTGATGCATGTATAAATCATCCTGTATAAAGGCTGGCATGTTTTCATAGAGAAGCTCTGCTAAAGGGCAGGAAGAGATCCACAAACCAGTTTAAAGGGAGCTAGCCCAGGCACTGGGATACCAAGTGCCTCTGTAAACAAACTTGGCCTGAGCTCCCTGCTGGTGCAGCTGAACTGCTGGTGGTGCTGACACTGGTAGGTGGAAGTTGGCCTTGGGCATCTTGGAGCTGCCCAGCCGTTGTTTATGCAATGCTGGAGACACAGCTGGAGTTCCCTGGCAGGAGGAGCCCCTCTGGCAGAAGGCACTGTCTCTGCAAACAATGGTCTCACATTTTCCATGGTAAATAAACCCCCTAATCTGGGTTTTTTTAGCTCTTGTTCAAACAAATCACGTGGGCTCTGAGAACTGACCACTGGCTGATGCAGGGCCCTGCTGTGGAGCTCTGCGTATTTTCACTGGGAGAAAAATACGGTCTTGATTTTTGCCATATCTGAAGTGTTTCCAAAGTTAGGTTTTGCTAGTGGCCAGTGACTCATTCTGTTCCTGTAGCTATTGCCTGCCCAGGAGGTGCCCCAACATGTGTAACGACTTATAGCTGCTCATCTTCATTGTTCTGATCCTATATTCCTGTTTATTTCTCTCCTTCCTGACCCCAACCTAGCTGGTCCGAGTGATTATTACACAGACTATGTGGCTACCAGGTGGTACCGCTCTCCGGAGTTACTTGTGGGAGACAACCAGTACGGACCTCCTGTAGACGTGTGGGCAATAGGTTGCGTCTTTGCAGAGTTGTTGTCTGGGGTCCCCCTGTGGCCTGGCAAGTCTGACGTTGACCAGCTGTACCTCATCCGGAGAACCCTAGGTAAGTGTCCTGGTCAGAGCCTTGGCCTTCCTGATGCCTTTGGCAGGACTACAGCTTGCCTGGAGGACTGTCCCCTGTGGTGGAAATCAGGTTTAGCCAGGAGGTGAATTTACCCAGTGGATCTCTCCTTTTTTATAAGAGCTGGGTTTTACTGGCATGACTTACATGTGTACATCTTGTTAGGAGATTGTGTAGTTGGAGTGACAGGTGCTGCTGCAGGTCCAGGGGAAACAAAGTTGGCATCTATGTGGGTGTTGACTGTTCTTCAGAAACAGATCTGTGGCTTCAGCTTGTGTGAGCCAGCAGTGCCAGACTGTGGCTAAAATGGACAGGGTTGTGTAAGTAGGATCATTGCCTGCAAACTGCCCAAGACCATCCTTCTACTCTCTGTAGCAGTGGTGGTCTCTGGGAAGCTGGCTCTGGAGCCTGGTGGTTTAAGAAAGATGTAAGATGTGTTGGGTGACCATGAGATGCCTCTCTTGCTCTTTTGGGGTGGTACAGGGTGTGAGGAGCACAAGGCCAGCCCCTGCACAGGTGGCATAGGAACAACCATCTCTGCTGCTGTCCTGCCCATCTTCAGCTGTCCCCACACAGATAGAAAAGTGGGGTGCCTGTATCAGAAAGGACCAGGGATGTTTTGCATAAAGGTGAGAAAGATCCAGGTATTTTTCAGGGTTTGGTACCAAGCAAAGCAGTCCCTGCCTCTAGATAACAAATAGTTGGATTTAGTTTATCACAGCTTTGGAGGTCTCATAAACATTGCCAGTGCCTGCGGATAGCTGTGTGCTTGGGAAAGAGAGTGTGAACACTGAAATTTGTCTGTTCCCTTTGTCTTTATTCACCAAGGAATTTTAGGAGTTGCTCCATATTTGGAACAGGGGTTAAATAAAAGAGCCATTATCTGTATGACACTTAAATTAATCTTGTCTCATTGATTGAGTTTGACCTTGGTGTGTAACATCTGATGTCTGAGGTGGAAAGGAACAACTCCTCACTTTTAGTTGAAATTTGTTGAAATGAACTGAAAATGGTAGGTTTTGCTGAGCAGTTTATAAAACCATAAAGGTGACTAATGGCTTTAAATGGAAAAGCTCCTTAGCTGGAAAAGCAGTTCAACGTTGATTGCTTCATCCTCCAGAATACATTTCTGCCAGTGTTAAGTAAGTTATCATTTATTTTTAATGATAGGGTTTCGGCCAGAAGAAATTCCCTTTTGATCCAGGTGACAGACTGAGGCAGCATTTACAGAGAAAAGCTCCTTGGCCAAAGCTGTGTAATTATGGTAGTTTGGCTGGTGTACTGCTCTTTTGTTACAGGTTTGATTTTAACGTTTAGCTTGCTCTGAGCTGCTCTAAGCTTTGAGAAAGAGACATGAAGCTGTGCTGGGAAAAAGCTACAGCTTGTTCCTGTTGGTGCTACATTTAATCTCTTTTCTATACAACATCCTCAGGAGTGTAGAGAAATAATTTCACCCAATATGAGTTAAATTTTAATGAAGTGAGAACACTTGTGGTTAGCCTGTCCCCTTCCAGCAGTCAGAGAAGCAACAACTGTTTATGCAGACAGGCTGCCTCTTGGGAACCCTTTGCCTTTGAAAATGCTGAAACACAGCATTGGCATGGAGAGCAGGCCAGCAGAGCTTGCCTCACCCTCCCTCCAAGAGAGCACATCAACAATGCTGCTCACGCTGCCAGACAGCCACCTCCAAAACAAACAGTGGCTCCTGCCAGTTGCTCATCAGAGCCCAGGGTTGGTCCATCATGTCTGATGTGAGCAGGGGAGGTAGCTGCTGGTCTGATCCTGCTTAATACTTTGGGAAGGATCCCTGGCTGAAGCTGGGTGATGTGCCATGGCTGGAGTTTCAGATCCTCGTAGGTGTTTGCACAGCACCCTCTAGCTATGATGCTGAAACATGTTCTCCTGTTCACTGATACACACATCCAGAGTTCAGTCAGCACAGAGTGGAGATCCAGGAGCTGGCACAGAGCAGACATGTTTATGCAACTTAGTGCCTTGCCCACCTCATTCCCTGGTGTTTTACCAAGGGGTCTTCTTGCTAGTGCAAATCCAAATTTGCAGTTACCCAGATAATGCAGTGATAGGATCAGATCAGGTGTTTGGCATGGGGAGATACATAGAAATATGTATTTTTTAGGCCCCCAGGTATAGTGGCCGCAGTTCATAAAAGCCACTTTGCCACACAACACAGAGCCTGGAAGATCATAGAATCTTAGAATGGTTTGGGTTGAAAGGGACCTTAAAGGTCATCCAGTTACAACCCCCTGCCATGGGCAGAGACACCTTCCACTAGAACAGGCTGCTCCAAGCGCTGTCCAACCTGGCCTTTAACACTGCCAGGGATGGGGCAGCCACAGCTTCTCTGGGCAACCTATGCCAGTGCCTCACCATCCTCACAGGGAAGAACTTCTCCCTAATATCTAATCTAAATCTGCTCTCTGTCAGTTTAAAGCCATTCCCCCTTGTCCTGTCCCTAACAGACCCTTGTCAGAAGTACCTCTCCAGCTTCTTGTCAGCCCCTTTAGGTACTGGAAGCTGCTCTAAGGTCTCCTTGGAGAGAACCCTCTCTTCTCCAGGCTGAACAGCCCCAGCTCTCAGCCTGTCTCCAGAGCTGAGGTGCTCCAGCCTTCTGAACACCTTCATGACCTCCTCTGGACTCACTCCAGCAGGTCCACATACTTCTTACCCTGTGGACCCACAGCTGGATGCAGGACTGCAGGTGGGGTCTCACAGACATGAAGTAGAGGGGGAGAATCCCCTCCCTCAGCTTGCTGGCCATGCTGCTGGTGATGCAGCCCAGAACACAGTCAGCTTTCTGGGCTGCAAGCGCACACTGCCAGATCATGTTGAGTTTCTCACCAGTGCATGGTAGCTGGGTACTGCTGCTGCAAAACGTCCTCCCACCAGCCGAATTTCTTTGAGTTGTTCACAGCACAAGGTCCTGGGCAGCTGTGACCATGGGCAGCTGGAGCTATGTGGCCCTGGCTTTCCTTCAGCACAGTCACACAGCTGTGGGATCACCAGTGTTAGAGGTGGACATTAGTTTTTGCAAAAGAAGGTTTCATCAGCTCACTTGATGTTATTCCATGTCTTCAGACATTCTCTCGGATGGTGTCAGCCTTGTCAGCTTGTTCAATGCAGGGTCTGTAAAACTAGCAAATTAATCCAACTTTGCTTTTTTACTTTCATTCTTGGTCAAAGGGGATCTTATTCCCAGGCACCGGCAAGTGTTCAGCACCAACCAGTTCTTCAATGGGATAATAATTCCAGACCCGGAAAGCATGGTAAGAGCTCTCTCCAGACACACTTCCCTTGAGCCTAAGCAATCTATGTGCAGTGCTAACCAGCAGTCTGAGTAGTGCTAAAGAGATGAAGTGTTCAGACAGAGAAGTGTTCCTGCCTCTTTCTACCCAGAGTACACATGCTGTCTGCTTTGGAATCAGAGCTGGAAAAGCCTCGCTTGCTCAGTGTGACCAGTCATTTGCTGCACAGAATTTTTTCCCTATCCAGAAGTTTTGCCCTCTACTTTGCCAATGTACACCAGAGTATTTGGAGGTGGCTGAACCCCTCTCATGACATTTTAACAAATATCCTATGTAAAAGCAGTCAGAAATGCTTAATCTCTGCTCCTTGCCCTGGTTCTGGTGGCACAGCAGCCAGCCTACCCATCCTCAGTAATGCCAGTAGCATTCCTCTAAGTGCATGAAGTGAGAGACATGTTTTGTGAGGTACAGGTCACGTTGCTGTGGAAAGCTGATTCTCTGTACCCTGATGAATTCAAAGCTGGCTAACCTGAGTACACTCACTCTTGTTTTCTCTCCAGGAGCCGTTAGAAATGAAATTCCCTCATATTTCATATTCTGCTCTAGCTCTCATGAAGGTAAGAAAACTACCACTCATGGAGGAGCTTTGCACCAAGACTTAGCAAATGCAGCCTGGTTTTGCTTATCAGCTGGTAAATGGTTTGAGAGTCAGCTACTGAATTATCAGAAATTAATTTTAAAGCAGAGCTGCAGGGGATTTGGAGAGGACTTTTAATCCACTCCTTTTTACCATGGAGGTGGAAAACATATTATTCCCTTAGTAGGATGCAGTGAATGGAAACTGTGAGGATGGAGACATTAACAAGAAGGTGCAGTTGTGGACAGTCCTGGCTACGCTGCACACTGGCACAACAGGGCTAGTGCCATAGTGGAGTCCCCTGCTTAAGAAAGTTGTTCAGTTCAAATGAAGGTTGTGGGCTGAACTGTTTGTAGAAGTTTGCTACACCATTCAATTGCAACTGTCCCTCTAGCTGCAATTTCTGCTACTGCCTTATGGCAGTTGTTGGGTATTGGCTGCTTTGCATGCCTTGTGCTGACTCTGGAAAGCCACTCTTAGAATCCATTAAGAAAAATATTAACAACTGTACCCGTGTGAATAGTCGTTGGCTTGGTGAGTAGCTGGAATTGTGCAGACCTGTTTAACGGGTGTTTCATGTGAACCATTACTTCATCTTTTTTCTAAGAGTTGCCTTCGTATGGACCCTGCAGAGAGGCAGACCTGTGAGCAGCTGCTGCAGCACCCCTACTTTGACAGCATTAGGGAAGCAGTGGATATGGGCAAAGAACATGGAAAAGCAGCTCGGAAACCAACCCGGCTGACTCAAAAGCATGTGCCAGGGGTAACATTTTCATAGTACTATTTCATGTTCTGTACCTGAGGAGGGGTTCTCTTTGTTGGGCTTGCAGGAGGTGGGCTCATGGGGGCAGTTAACGGTGAGAGCGAGCTCCTGCCTTGGACCCATCTTAATTTCAGCCCGAGGAGAAAATTAACCTCTTGGCTAAAGAGTAACTCAGTACAAACCAAATTCAGTGTGCAGCTCCACTGGGTCGCTGGGGTAAGCAGCACATCATGTGAAAGATCAGGTTTATCCAGGAATGTGCATTCCTGACAAAGAATAGCAGGATAGCTGGACAGGCTGGTGTGGCTGGTTTAATTTGGAGTTCTCTGGTATCTTTTTGGTGCTTTTGAATTCCAAGTTATGAAGATGGCAAAAATGCCCAGTTCTGTTTGTAACTGCTGATGGGATGTGATCCCTTATGTAGTTCCAGATGTTACACAATGCACTGGGTGTTTCTGCCAAGCATATGTTTCCCAGTTCAGTCTTTCCAGACGCCAGCCCAAGTCTCCGGTCCAGCCTCTGGAGGAGAGGCGTTCAGTTCTGTCTTCCTGCGAGCCACATTCCCCACGACAGCAGGGAGTTTGGAGGTGTGGGATGGAGAACTGTTACAGCGTATAAATTCCTGGATCAAACTGACTTGCCTCTTCTATATTCTGTGGCATGGGATATAACAGTAATATTTTTCCTGCCCTGGATGACTGAAAGAAAGAGCTTTAATGAGCTGTTCTGGTTCCGGTCCAGTTGTAGAAGCCCAGCTCCACAGCTCCTCATTTGAAAAGCACAGGATTACAGGATGAATACAGTTATAGCTTATATTCCATTTGAAAAAATAGAACGCATGCTTTAGTCTCCTTTCAAACAAATACACACTATGTAACTTTTCTTTCAGTTACAGTACCTGCCTCAGTTAACCAGTAGTAACGTACTACCAGCGTTGGACACCAAGAAGTACTGCTGCAAAACGAGAAAATCAAACTATCATTTCCCTAACATCTAATTGGATGGCAAATTAAAAACTATTCACTGATCAAAGTTCAAGTCATTTCACAATTTATAAAAGGAATAATGGTGGAAAACAAAATTACTGCTTGTTAGGACATACACAAAAGTGGTCTGTGACGTACTCTGGGTCAGTAACAGAAGTGATGCACAGAGAGAACTCCAAGCTCCTGTTAGTCAGTGCTCTGCGTACCAAGGAAAATACATTTAATTTGCTTTAATTCATGGTTGTGTACTGGTTTGTGGTTGTGTGCCAGTTCAGGATTACTGCAATCCAGTGCTTGCAGTGTGAGTTTAAAAGCTTTTGCCTGTTCATCCCCATATTTCAGACATGTCAGCAGAGCTGCAGCCTTGCCAAAGCAATCAGAGTCCAGCTGTGTCAAAGCAGTAACGCTGCTTTGGAGTCACTGATCCCATGAGGAACTGTGAATGCCTTGCTGGTGGGAGTAGAGGAGGTGGGAGGCTGCCTGACCGGTCAAGTAAGTTCTAAACCTGCTGAAGTAGCAGGGGTCTAAAGAGATGTCTGTCTTTCCTACCACATTTAAAGATCACGCAGTATTAAAGGTACTGGTAATGACTCAGACCTAGTGGAAGGCTCAGCGGGCACTGTTACCAGGAGATCATAGAAACAATACAACCTGTTGTTTATTTAGTCTTTTCAGAGCTTCTCCTGTGTGTTTCTTCCTTGCATTAGGAGCTCATTTTTATTTGCTGTTTCCATCAGCAGCAAAATCAATTGCCTGTAGTGTTACAGAAATCATTTTTGTCAAAACTAATTCATGAATATCATTTATAACATTGGCCAGACGCAGGAAGGAATTCTACCTAAGCAACATGTATTAGAACGATTTGTAGGTTTTGTGTAATCTTAGGACATACTACTGTGGTGATTTTGAATAAATGTAGTTTTGCCAATTTACTGGATGTGTTTTACTGCATAAAGTTTTACTACTGGGCAAAACATCCTCTTTTTACTTAAAACATAGAGCAAAAAGTGTTTTCTTTCCTCAATACTGTTCTGTGTTCAACAACTGGTAAAGCAGTTTCACTGGGACAGGTGCCATATCCTTACAGAGAGTGCCTGTCTGCCTTTTCTTTTGTGTTGTAATTTAATGTATTTTAATCTCGTACATTTTGTGCCTCAGTAGTTTTGGTTACACTCAGAAAGCTGTGGCACTGCAGGATTTTCTGCATGGATGTTCAGCCATCTAATCCTGTGTATGTGCAAAGCACTGCAGCACCCACAGGTTGTTATTAGCAGCTGATAGCCTGGCAGTGGGCTCCTGGAACCAGCCCGGTGCAGCACAGGCTACAGGTACACCATTCTTGCCTGTTCAGTGCTGGGAGGTGCCACAAAGAATCAGCCCCACAATGCAGGTAGTACAAAATGTCCTTTCCGTGGCCTGGAGTCATTTCCTTCTGCAGCCAAGCTGGCAATGAGGGACAAGAGGTGCTCAATTATGCAGAGATTGTCATGTCTGAGGCATTGCTGGGAAATCTGCTTTCTTGGAGTTTCTGTTTGCTGCCCTCCTCCCTTACGATAAAGCTAGGAACTGACTAAAACCACTTCTTCCTGAGGATGAATCACTGTCTTATTTAGCAGGAGTGAGATGGATGCAACTAAACAGGTACACAGGGCTCATTTAGTCCAGCTCCACATACAGAAAAAATGTCTGCAAGGGCATATGCAAGAGACCCCATTTCTCCATAAGTACACATTATCTGAGAGACCCTGCTTCTCCATAAACACCTCAATGTTCTGTTTGTCAGCTCAGTGCTTACAAGGAGACTACACTGCCTATTTGTAGATCACTTCATTTAAACAAAGACGTGAATCAAAGCCTGAGGAACACTTAACAAAAGGCCCTTAAGCTATTCAAACCAGGTGAGATTCTCAGAGTAAAGAGCTCCCGTTCCACAACACCAACACCATGGAATGGACGCGCCCAGCACTGCTGCTTCACTACACTGACCTTCTACCCACTGTTGTTTTGCACAAGAACTTCTGTGCAGTAAAATACTTGAGAACTACTGAGGTATCAACAGATTCCTATAAAACCAGGAATAAAGTAACTACACACACAAGTCTGCCTGCTCTGTTGTTGATCAGAGAATAGTTTAAGCTTATGTAGTTTATATAGCTTAAGTTTATATAGTTTAACCTTAATAAAACTTAATTGCATAATTTGTCAAAAGATTGTGTACAGCTTTTGAGGCAGCATTGGGCGATCTGGGCTTATTTCCATACCTGGAAATACAGTAGTGTCTACAACTTGGTTTATGCAACATACAATAAACACTATGAAATCAAATACATCTCCATTATGAGCAATTGTGTTTATTCTAAATCCAGCTCCAGCTTGAGGTTTGGCAGTGCCTGCTGAAGGACGTGAGCAGTAGTTTCTTTCTGTCTTATTCCAGGAAGGTCACTCAGATACAAATATTCAAGGTTCCTATAAATATTTAAAAACAAAAGTCAGTGACTACTATTTAACTGTTGACACAGAAATTAGACAAAGGATTATTCTACCAGAGCTGGTTTGAGTATCTTAAAAGTTGTTTTATTTTCTGAAGTGGGGGGTTTTCAGCTCACCATAAGTTCCGTCCTTCTACACAGCTTAAAAAGAGATCCTGGACTCCCTGCATCATGGAGCTTGCTTTATATTGAACAATACTTGATAATTTCAATAGCAATTTAGTTTAGAAAACACAAGCCATGATAGGTTGGACCAGAAGATCCTTGAGGTCCCTTTAACCTGATATTCTAAGATTCTAGAAAAAGTTATTTTCATGTAAATAATAATTAGAGTAATATAAAAAGTCCTTATTAAGACCTTTCTGTAGGATGAAATCCATCACCCATTTGTTGATGTTTGCAGCTTGATGTGACACTAAACAGTTCTGAGTCACTTTAAGGCCACATTTCAATACAGCACCCATGGATGTTGTGCACAGGTACACAGCACCCAACTGCTTCCCCAAGCCTAAGCACTCAGGTCCACCCCGACACCTTGAGGCTGCAGTAAGCATGAGATAACTCAGTGACAGAAGCCATGCAAGGTGTAGAAGGATCATAGAAGTGACACGACACCATCAAAGCCTGCCCTGAACAGCAGCTGCAGCAGTGTGATCAGCCCAGAAACCAGAGTGATTATCAAATAAAACCAGGCAAAATCAGCCCATAAACATGAAGAGTCCAGCCCTTGCAGTCAACCCAATCCCAAAGCCATGGGGTGTAACAGCCAGGGAAGCAAGGTGCTATAGAAGAGCTCAGCAGCTCACGTACATCAGCTTGTGAAGCGCAATGATGCCTTGATCTGTGACATTCCCACAGGAAATTATCTTCAGCTGGAGGAGGCTCTTCTGCAGATTCTTTGTCTCGCTGAGCCTTTGCAGACACTCATCCTGTATGTAAATACACTTCTGCAGTTTGATTTCTGTAACATGTTTGAGACCATCTGGGAAGACAAAAATGAGTATTGGCTTCAGAATACCAGGAACAACCTGTACTGGCTGGTAAGTTCTGAGTTCAGCAACTGTCTCCAAACCCTCACAGCGACATGCTCCCTTATACAGTTGGCTATAAGGCAACATGAATCTCCAAAGTCCCTTTGCAGTACTTCGAATACATGGAAACGCCAGGGTTTGTATCCTTTGGGTAAGAGTCTAAGAGCTTTGGAATGGGCACATAACAAAAAAAAACCTCTACAAGTCTGGGTGGAGAATAAGGACTCTGACTTAGGAACGTACTATTGCAGGAAATTCAAGGTCCCCTGCCAATGAAAAAATAAAATGGTCTGTTCCACATTTTGGTTTTTGTTACTTAAAGGAGACCTGAAACACTTCTTCAATCTCTTATTTTATGAGAAACTGAGAGCTTTTTTTTTTTTCTTTCATCTTTGAAGACATCATAAATGCCTGGAGAACAAGTAATGAGACTTCACAGGCACCAAGAACATCACTTGGTTTAGAAGAAAAGAAGTATTTAACATAGGGCTTATTGCTACCAGCTACTTAACTATGAACTCAATGAAAAAGCAAAACTTTGTTGCACTTCTTCAGTGTTACTGTTGCTTCAGGTAAGGGTTGATGAAGTTCCCACTCTCTTTCTGCTTCACACCATACCTCCACCAAATCGTAGGAATGGCTCAGTATTTGTAGAGAGGGGGGCAAGGAAAATATCTTGCCAGGGAAGGAGAAAATGACACAGTTATTTGTATTTTCATGCAACTGAAAGAACAGTATAATATTTGCACAGCTGTGTCTACATTACCTAAATAGTCAAATCCTCTGTACATGATGCAAGATTCAGTGGCATCAATTGCTTCTATTTTGTATTTCCCCAAGGGCCCTGTTGGGAGACCACTGTAGTCCTGCTGCCATTTCTGATAGCCTTGATAGCGCACCAGCGCACCACATCGCAACAGCCACTCTGAGGCTGCCCTGTCAGGGCCAACAGCTTGGATACGTTCGTAGTCCACCCTGCAAGACAGAAAGAGCATTCACATAGCTTCTGTAATGTGGCAGACTTATTGCCTCGATGTTAATAATGACTGCACAACAAATATTTGGCTAGGTGTATGATAAGATGTCAGAGAAGTAATAATATGATCTACTGGAATTGGTTTATATATAATTATTTGAATTGCTCTTTATCAGCCAGGCAAGAATTTATTTTTTGATTTAAATGGAAGAGGCTTGTGGTAAAAAGAGAAAGAATGCAAATGCAACCCTTACAGCTGATTGTTTCCTTCCATGTCTGTAAGGAGAGATGAAAAATCACCTTTCTATGCAAAGTAAGGCTTTGCAACAATTGCAAATATGTCTCCCAAACACTGATTACATAAAAACCTCTCATTGCCTGTCATGCTCCTGTTGTTCCAGAAGCCTTTTTCCTCAACAATTACAGTATTTCAGAAAGATACACTTCAGCAGTTAGTTAAAATCCTTAGGTCCATTCAAGACAAAGATATCTTTCTTAGTCTGGTAAGGAATGCTGAAGACAGAAGCAGAGACCTGTCCGTTTGGGTTTTGCACCCTGTTACAGCAATCACCTGCATCACACAACCCTTTCCACAAAGCTAGAAAACATACGGCAAAACTATTAGCTACTGGCAAAAGTATGCACAGAAAAAGAGTTTTGCAGATAAAGAGTTTCATAGAGAAAGGCTTTATCTTCCTAAAGCTAACTGTGAAACCCTGGTGTGGCTGAGTCACATTGTAAATGGTAGGTTGGTTAGATGCTTTTCTGAGTAAATAAAGGATGCATGGTCGTGTTACGGGTTTAAATGCATCTGGGGGTCAAAGGAAGGCTGGCATTTAGGGCGAAAATCCACATTGCCAGCTGGCATTTAGGGCAAAAATCCACATTGCCAGCTTGCCTACCACCACTGGGAGGGGAGCAAATCACACACCTTCCCCTGGAAGGCCGCAGCTCTGTAACTGGAACAGGTAAGAAATGCCCCCTGCCAAGCATCAGCACGCAGTGTGGGGGAAGAAAAGCACTGGTACCACAAAATGCCCTTTCCAGTCCTGGGACTTCAAAACCGCACAGGGGATAGATGGGACCTGCTAATGGCCTTGTACGCACCGAGTTACCCTTACTTGTTGAACACGGCATTCAGCCATCCCCAGAAGCCTCTGCAGGGGCCCGCTGGGGGCAGCTTGCCGAGGCTGTGCACCGGCTGCGCAAGTTTCCCCAACAGCACCATGTTCTTGAAGAAAGGAGAGGACAAAGTGAAACGTTACCCGCAGAGCCAGCCCCAGCGGGACGGGCAGCCCGCACCCGGCTTCTCCTCAAGGCCTAAACAGGTCTGTCAGCCCCAGGGACCGTGCTTGAAGGGAGGCTCCAGCACCGCCTCAGGGCTCACCCCGCCCCGCTACCGCACTCCCGGGATCCCCTCCCGCCGGGCTGCCCTCGGCGGACAAGCAGGCAAACCCCACACGGAGCCCGGCCCGACCTGCCACCAGAGGCCTCTCACCGCCGCCGCGGAGGAGGAGCCCGTCCCGCTGTGTATCACCGCCCCCAAGATGGCGGCGGCGGCGCTGCTGCGGAAGCGGGCGGGCAGCAGCGGGGCCGCGGCGCTGTGGCGAGCCCAGCGCCGCCAGCGCAGGTGAGGCCGCGGGGCGGACGTGGGAGGCGGCCCTGTCCGAGCTTCCCCTGGCTGTGTCCCCTCAGCTCTTCCCTCACGGCGGGAGGGCGGCCATGGCGGTGCTGGGGCCGGGCGGTCGCTTCCCCCTCAGAGTCGGGGCTGGAGGCGGGCCGCCCCTCGGGCGGGCGGGCAGGCGCGCGCGTCCCCGCGGGCACCCTTCGGGTGAGCTCACTGCCTGCTTGTGTCTGTCTGTGTCTGTGTCTGTCTGTGCCTGTGTCTGTCTGTGCCTGTGTCTGTGTCTGTGCCTGTGTCTGTGCCTGTGTCTGTGTCTGTGTCTGTCTGTGTGTGTGTGTGTGTGTGTGTGTGTGTGTGTGTGTGTACAGCACCTTCGACGTGGTGGTGGTGGGCGCGGGAATCGTGGGGCTGGCCTCGGCCCGGGAGCTCGTCAGGCGGCATCCCTCGCTCGCCTTCGCCGTGCTGGAGAAGGAGCAGGAGCTGGGTATGGTGCCGTGTCCTCCTCACCCGGGTGTGCTCGGGTTCACCGGGTGTCAGCCTGTCAGAAGTACTTTTCCGAAGGGCACCCTCGCCGAAAACGCAGTACTTTGTGATCGTGCCTGTAAAGGGAACGCTAGAATCACAGAGTGGTTGGGGTTGGAAGGACCTTAAAGCTCATCCAGTTCCAACTGCCTGCTACGGATTGCCCCACTGCTGTTTTGGGCAGTCTGTGCCTGTCTGTTAACTGTCAGTACTGTAAACCACAGTCATATGCCCTGTGATTCTGGATATCCCTGTATATGCTGTGCAAAGTGCTGTTACTTGCACGGGAGGCAATTTATCAGAGGCAAAGAACAAACAGATAATCTGGAAAGGTGGTTACTAGTTATTGGCCCAGAATGAACTACAGTGAAACGGCACAGATAGCAGTCTTGCCTGCTTACACAGGAAATCTTGAGGCACTCTTCACTGGGTCATCCATCCTCGCATTGAAATAAGAAAGAATAAGCCCTGTTGCTTCATTGAAAGCTTTTCTGGCTCACTCAACTACAAGCACAGTTTCACCATAAGCAGTCTTTTCACAGCAAGTGCTTATGCAGCTGGGCAGCCACTCAGGGTAGGCAGGAGCAACCCCAAGGGATCATGTCAGTGGCTAATGCAAAATAATACCAGTGAGCCTAAGGTCTTTCTTTAAATAGCTCTATCAGCCAGGCTGCATACTGGTCTTGAGGTGTTACATGTGTGATATGAAGTGGCTTTTTATAATAAGATGGGATGTACATTAGGTCCGTAACAGTTGTGTGAGTGCAAAGCAGGAAAGATTCAATACTTTGGGAGTCAATATGTTAAGAGGGAGAACCTGCCCAAATTACTTAAATAAAAATGTTTGTGATACTTTTCACCTCTGTTTTACTTAGTTACAAAGAGCAAATAGCGACTTAATCCAGTTCACAAATACTTGAAAAGCCTACCAAGCCTGCCAGCACATATCAAGAAATTGTGGATTGCACGGATGTTATGTTAGATGAGGCCTTTAAGGATGCATTTCATTTTAAAAATTGAATTTCTTTAATTTGAGCATGTACAAAATTTTGGTTGATTGGCCTGCAAGTGTACCTCTTGGAGGAAAAACTTGTGATTAGCTTTTATTCTGCCTGTTGATTCAACACACTTCAAGCTGTGATGGTTTATTATTAACTAGGTCTTGCTGTGTCAGTGTTTTTCTAGCCTTTTGAGACCATGGGAGGAATTGGGTTTGCTGTGCAGTTACCTTATATGAGCATCTATTTTAACACTGATTTAGGGCAGGACCTTACTCTTCTGACAGCTGAGGTAATTAAAGTGTGAATTAATAATGGACACATGCATTTTAATAACATACTTTTCTTACTATTCAGCTCATCACCAGAGTGGACATAACAGTGGCGTGATTCACAGTGGAATTTACTACACACCTGGATCTCTGAAAGCTAAGCTGTGTGTAGAGGGAGCAGCCCTCTGCTACGAGTACTGTGACCAGAAGGGAATACCATATAAGCAGTGTGGGAAGGTATAGGAACTGCTGTGCATTCTTACTGTACATTTGGAAACTGAGACTGTATAATGTAATGTTACAATGTATAGCAGAGGCCTGGTTGTGGTCTTTCTCCCAAGAGATTACTTTCTGCAACACTAGTTTCAGAATGAAAGTGCCTTTTTGTTTTCTTCTTTCCAGCAATTCAAATTGGTTTATTTTCTGGACCTAAATAGTAATTCTCCTTATCTGTCGGCTGAGCTGAAATATCCCAGGTAATGGTGGAAGCCAGGCCCCATGGAAGAGCACCTGTGTAGCTCCAAGGAGCACAAAGTCTCTCAGTATGTGCATACCTTATATCCTGGCATATCAGACTCTGGAAAGACTTGAAAACAGCTCCAGATGTGACCCAGCTACATGCATTTATGCCATGTTACATCCACCTAACACAACCTGAAATGCTGGGGACAGAAGAGTGGCTGTACCGATTCGCTTGGGGTCTACCCAAACCTGTATTCAATTTCTGGAAGTTTCTGGAGAGACTAAGGAAGGAATAAGAACAGGACAAGCAAATTACTAATTCTTCCAGCTTTCAATTATTTTCAGCTCAGATAATTTTCTGAGCCTGATGTATTTTGTCTGTTGTGACTCTCAATGGTTTTCTTTTGCAAGTGTTTTTCAGTTCAAAGCTTTTGCATCAGAGCATACTTTGATGAGCAGTTCCACAGATCAGCAACCTACTGCATCATTTTGCTCCTGGCTCCTACCAGGAAAAAATCTGATAGCCCCTACCCCTTGTGTTAGAAAAGCTCATGAAAAGTTGATCTGTGCTCACAATCTCTAAGTTGCACATAATTTCATATCCCCTTCTCCTTTCCAGCTGGTGAGCCTTATGCTGCTCAGTCATTCCTCTTAGAGAAGCTTATCATGACTCTCCTTATCCTGGCTTTGTTCTCTGACCCATTCATGGTTTAATGCATCTTTGACACAAGATAAGGATCACGATTGTGCGCAGCATTCAAGATGTTTTCAGACTGTGGGTTTTTGCAGAGAAATAGTATTATCTGTATTATCCTGTATCCTTACCCTCATTGTTCCTGACATTTAATTTAGGGCTTTTCAGGTGTCACTAGGCATTGAGTTGATGTTTCCACAGGACTGTCTAACCTTACCCCAAAATCTTGATCCTGAGTAATAACTTTGAATTTGAATTTAGCATTTTATACCTGAGGCTAAGACTACTTTTTCTATGATCACCATTTCACATTTGTATGTGTTGAATTTCATCTGCCATTTTCAGTTGCTCATTCACCTTGAAAGGTCTTCTGCAGTTCTTTACAGTCAGCTCTTGTCAGAACCATCTTGAGTCACTTTAAACCATCACTTGACTCTCACCTCCCTGGCTGCCCCTTTTGAGGTTGCTCATAAACATCTTGGACCTCCTAAGCCTTTCTCTTTTATAAGTACAAGGCAGACCTTATCTGATGTGATGAGCGTCACTTCAGGTCCCCCTAGCTCAGAACGTATGGGGAGCTGTGTGCAGATCTCACCAGCTGTGAGGTGCAGAGCAGAAATCCCTGGACGTGGCAGTGTTGATGGCCCCGCATCAGTGCGGGTGGTGTTTGTCCCGGCCGGGCTGTGCTCCCTCCACTGCAGCTCTGGTCACAAGATGGCACTGTGGATTTGTACAGCAATACACTTGACGTGTCAAGCCTGCACCCAACCCGAAGCTGAAGGCAGCAGACTTGCTCTGTAAGTGTAAATTCGAGCTTGGATAAGGTTAGCCGACCTAGCAGCTTTGTTGGTCCTTTGATGACAATAAATTTGTTACTTCCTCATCGCCTTTCCTGGAAGTGTTTATTCCAGGAAAGATGATGGTGAGGCTTTACAGCAAGTTCTACATAAAGCAGCCCCAGGTTTGGAGAACTTAGTGGCGTCTCAACATGTAAGTGTCTGTGTTGTTAGACTTGAGCTAGGCCTGGAAGTAGCAAGGTCTGTGCAAGCCTGGCACAGATAATTCATAGCCTGGATAAATGTCTTGTGGTAGTTGTGAGCTAACTACATGGTTAAATGAAGTGGTACAATTCAGTTCAGGCACCATGTCAGAACACATCCTTACTCTGTTATTGAGACTGTTTGAGATTTGTACAACTTGTGTTAGTTCAGGTTTATTTCTGGAAGCATCCAGTGTCTCTTTAAAATAATATTCTTTCACATTGAGATTTGTAGTCTTGTGGTACTTTTAGCAAATATTATCCATTGATAGTAGCTTAAACTACAGTTTAACATTTGTTTTTTACTTTTCTTAATGCTTTCTCAGTAATAACTGGTATTTATAGAATCTTGTGCAACTAATGGCACAAATCACATTTCCCCCTTCTTGAATTATAATTCACTGTTCACTTACTCACTATTGTTTGCTTGTTAGCTTGGGCTTGATGCCAGACCTGAACTGGCTGTGTGTGTTTTGCTCACTGCTGTGACTTGTTATCTTTTCTGAAGCTAATTGTAGCTGTTGAACAAGATGAAATTCCAAGACTCAAAGCTCTATACAAAAGAGGGCTGCAGAACAATGTCCCAGGTCTGAAACTGATTGGAACAAAAGAAATACAAGCAAAAGAACCCTTCTGCAGGGTAAGGGATTTGCATATTTTGAATTAGTATGTAAGATCTCAGTTTCTCTGGTAACGTTTTTTAACTTAACATAAATATGTTTCTGGTCTTAAGGTAATCCGCATGGGGGACGAGTTTAAAAGAGCCTGAAAACCCAGAATAAATATAATTGTCAACAAAAATAAATGTATCCATTTATTTCTGGAACTTTTTAGCTCAGGCCAATCCTTCACATGCATTTGTCATTACATACACATCAGACCAAGTCTAACATAATGTAAGGTGATGCTGTGGAATCATTGGTGACACTTTCACCTCAGGTTTCTCCTGCTCACCTCTTCTCATTCTGTTACTTGTCAGTTCGTAATTCATTAGTTCTCCATATGATGAAAGCATAAAGAGTTGCCGCTGCTTTAATTGCACATAAGGCACTGGCTGGATCCTAAGAGCCAGCATTCAGAAACTGGAGAGCAAGCAATCCATTTCACTTGCAGCCTACAAAAAGAATCAGGCTTATCCGAATCAAAGCAGGAGATTCTAGAGTCCCTTAGTCATTCTGCAGGGCTGAATTTATAGGTAAATGGACAGAGCCTACAAGTTGCTCAAACTTCATTCTGTTCTCAGCTTTATACAGAGATGTCCTCCCTGATGTATGTGCTCAGAAACAGAACCAATCAATCAACCAAAAAGCTCAACCCAAACCAAACAGTTCTCCTACCAATGATGATTTTTTAACTATTACTAGTATTTTCATTTGTTTTAATTTTATCTGTAATTGTTCCCCTTCAGTGTTCAAGGCCAGGTTGGACGGGCTTTGAGCAACCTGATCCAGTGGAAAGTATGGGAGGGGTGTTGGAACTGGTCCTTTCCAACCCAAATCAGTCTGTGATTCTCCTTGCAGGTGCTTGCTTGTATGTTTTTGTGGTTGATAGGCAGATTTGCCTTTGCCCAGGTTAGAGCTGCTCTATCTGAGATTATGCTGAGATGATTCTGCTCCTTCCCATTAAAATTATTTACCATACAGTAAAGCTTGATAATATACCTTCCACATGTAAGTGCAGATTGGGATCAAGCTGATTTCAATCCAGTTGCTTCCTGGATTGAAATGGTGGTCCTTGTGTAGCACTTCTCAGCCTGTTTATTTTCACAGCAGGAGAAATGTGGGTAGTTTATGGAGTACAGATTTGTTGTTGTTTAGTGTATCTTTGGTTGAAAGGAAAACCTGGATATAAATTCCCTGTGCTGTTTCATCTGGCAGCTTGCTATTGGTGTTGCTGCATGACTCTGCTTGTGAATGGTTGTAGGTACAGACAGAAATTTTCTGGAGAGGAATCTTTATTTTTTTTTTCTTGTAAACATTTTATATCCGCTCCTTAAAACTTTCTTTGCTTGTTCAAGATCCAGCTGAGCCTTTTCTTCTGCAAATGAGTAGATTCAGGTGGGTCTTTCTTAATTTACCTTGGTTTCCTGAACTGAGTCCTTTCCTTGTAAGCAAATGGCACTTGGTGTTATCATAGAATCACAGAATGATAGAATGGTTTTGGTTGGAAGGGACCTTAAAAACCACCCAGTTCAACTCCCTCTGCCATGGGAAGGGACACCTTCCATTAGACCAGGTTGCTCAAAGCCCTGGTCTAAGGGGGCTTTGAACACTGCCAGGAGTGGGGCAGCCACAGCTTCTCTGGGCAACCTGTGCCAGTGCCTCACCACCCTCACAGTGAAGAACTTCTTCCTTATATCTAATCTAAATCTCCCCTCTTTCAGTTTAAAGCCATTTCCCATTGTTCTGTCCCTGCAGGACCTTGTAAAAATCCCTCTCCAGATTTCTTGTCAGCCCCTTTGAAGCTGCTCTAAGGTCTCCCCAGAGCCTTCTCTTCTCCAGGCTGAACAACCCCAGCTCTCAGCCTGTCTGTCAAGTGGAAAGAAAGGTTTTATAGAATCACAGAATCATAGAATAGTTAGGATTGGAAAGAACCTTGAGATCATCTAGTTCCACCCCCCTTCCCATGGGCAGGGACACCTCACACTAAAGCATGTCACCAAAGGCTCTGTCCAATCTGGCCTTGAACACCGCCAGGGATGGAGCATTCACAACTTCCCTGGGCAACCTGTGCCAGTGCCCCACCACTCTTCTCTAACAGTAAAGAATTTCTTCCTTATATCCAATCTAAACTTCCCCTGTTTAAGTTTGAGCCTGTCACCCCTTGTCCTGTCACTACAGTCCCTAATGAAGTGTCCCTCTCCAGCATCCCTATAGGCCTCCTTCAGATACTGGAAGGCTGCTATGAGGTCTCCACGCAGCCTTCTCTTCTCCAGGCTGAACAGCCCCAACTTTCTCAGCCTATCTTCATACAGGAGGTGCTCCAGTCCCCTGATCATCCTTGTGGCTCTCCTCTGGACTTGTTCCAACAGTTCCATGTCCTTTATATGTTGGGGACACCAGAACTGCACATGATGCTCCAAGTGAGGTCTCACGAGAGCAGAGTAGAGGGGCCAACCATTCTGGTTGTCTTGGGCATGTGAATGGCCCCTGCTATTGTAGTATCTGAGTGTCTGTCAATCTTTTAATGTAGTTAAATTTGCAGCATCTCTCAGAGATAAAGCAGTGCTACTATCCTTATAGTCAGAACTAGGAAAATATTGTGATGACATCTACCATGATAAAAATCATGTGAGAAACTGAACCTCTTCTGAATAAAGATAGTAAAACGTCTCTAAGAAACATTAAGAATTATAGCTACACACTGGGCTTGACCCTTGCTTTCTGCTAAGACAAGTGTAGGCTGTTGTCTAAATAAGAAGGGACTTTTCTCTCCAATGTGCAGTGCAGTGTTGCACCCTGGCTAGATTGTATGTTTTAGCCTTGCAAGAGGCATTGTCAACAGCCATGCACCAGGTAGAGCTCCCAAGTGACCGTTTGAAGGTGGAATAGCATAGCACATAGTGAAAAATAGTAAGTAGCTATTAGCTGAAGCCAAAGCTGGGTAACCTGTTTTATCATTAAGTGCTTTGTTGAGGAAACTGCATTATGCTGTAGTCACATGATCACTTAGTCCACCATAAGTAGTTTTTGCCATACTAGTTGTCAGCAAACACTAACACTGGAGCTGGCATGTGGAGAGGCTAGGAACAAGCAGACAGGGATGGGGAGGCAGCAGGACTCCCTTCTCTGTTGCAGTGTGCATAATTCCAGATAAAATAGTCTCTGTATTGAAGATCAAAGTCCACATACAGCCTTCACTGTTCTTATGTATCTTAATACTGTTTTAGGGTCTGATGGCCCTTGATTCTCCATATACTGGCATTGTCAATTATAAACAAGTGGCACAGTCCTATGCAGCAGACTTCTGGGAAGCAGGTGGGACGATCTTCACTGATTTTGAAGTTACAAATATGGAGATGGCTAAAGAAAGTTCTTCAGAAAGTGCAGATGGTAAGGCAGGTTCTTTTCCTCCATTTACTACAATTCTGCCGAAGATTTTGTTGAAAACATGTTTGTTTTAACTGAAATGACATTTCTGAACCTTTCTGTCTTGTGGGGATGAAACAAAATTAAAACTACATTAGTGAGTTTATTGAGGAAGTTCACTGTTTTGTTTTTTCTTCAGGCAGGTCACCCTTCAGCTGAAACATTTAAAGCCGGTGGAACAATATGATAGTAAAAGTGAGGAAGAAAGTTGTTATCTCCTATTAAAATCAGATTTAGCTGAATATTGCATTTATGTTCTTGTAATAGTGCTTTTTCTTTATCCTGGAAGGCAGGTTGGATCTGTGCTAGTACATATATGGAAGAATAAAAAACCTGTGTTAATTCATCCAGTTATGTCCAACATCAGTTATGTCCAACAGTGGTTGCTCCTTAGCTTGTAGATATTCCAGTGGAAGAAACTTTCATCATGACAAGCTGCTTGTTCTGTCAATTTTCTGTTATGTGTTCGATTAATTCCTTCTCTTGTCTAATTCTGTGACAGGACTGAAATACCCACTCATTGTTCGGAATGCAAAGGTAAGAACAAAGCTGAAGATTTAATTGCTTTATTGGAAGCTGTTTCTCCTTAAGAATTTTTGCTGAGTCCTGGTGGATTATTCAGCTCTCTAGAAAAAGTTAAAAGATGCTGTTCAGTAACATGATCACTGTCATCTAGGACTGCTTCTATAAAGCAACTGCAGTCAATTCTTAATTGATTTAGTTCCTGGGGGTCCAACATAAGAAGTTGGACATGTTGGAGCAAGTCCAGAGGGGGACATGAAGATGCTCAGGGGAATGGAGCACCTAATCTAAATCTCCCCTCTTTCAGTTTAAAGCCATTCCCCCTTGTCCTATCTCTACATGTCCTTGTAAAAAGTCTCTCTCCAGATTTCTTGTCGGCCCCTTTGGGTACTGGAAGCTGCCCTAAGGTCTCCCTAGAGCCTTTTCTTCTCCAGGCTGAATAACCCCAGCTCTCTCAGCCTGTCTCCATAGCAGAGGTGCAACAGTCCTCAGAGCATCTTTGTAGCCTCCTCTGGACTCGCTCCAACAAGTCCACATTCTTGTTTTGGGGCCCCAGAGCTGGACGTAGTACTGCAGGTGGAATCTCACAAGAGTGGAGCAAAGGGGGAGAATATTACAAATGAAACAAGTATTTCTCCCTCCTTCTGAAAATGTTTGGTTTTCTTTCTGGCCTTGACTTATTTTCTTCCAAAACTTGTAGGTGATGGGTGGTTTTTTTTAGTAGGTACGTTGAATTGTTGTGTGTTTTATGTTTTGTTTTGCTTTTCCCCAGGGTGAGGAAATCTACTGTCGCCACATTGTGACCTGTGCAGGACTTTACTCAGACCGCCTGTCTGAGATCAGTGGCTGCAGCCCTGAACCTCGTATTGTACCCTTCCGTGGAGATTATTTGGTGCTAAAGCCAGAAAAGTCTTACATGGTTAAAGGAAATATCTATCCAGTATGTATTCTCTTGTTTAGCTTTCCTGGTGTACTCTAAGAAATGCTAAAACTACAGAAATAAGGGCAGTATTTCATGGTTATTTCTGTTGGACTGCAGTGATGTGGGTGTACATTCAGTTGCCTTCTGACACTACAGCTTGTTTTTGTTGATTCTTGAGGAACAGGTAGAAGTACCATGAGGGAAACTATTGACAGTCTTTTTTTGTTGTTGTTTGTGTTTTTGTTGTGTTGGGGGTTTGTTGTTGTTATCTGGTTTGGTTTTTTAGTAGCAAAAGAATGAAACATATAGCATGATAGCCCCATGCCCACAAAAGCCTGGCGTTTTTCTGTTAAAATAAATCTGTAGACAGGATTCAGAAGTCAGTGAGGTACAACAGTAAATAACTAATTACTTAGACATAGGGTTTAATCCTGTGTGCTAATACCCAAAGCTCAGATTTAGATATGTGCCTCTAAACATCATCTTTGAAGTAGCTTTACTTTGTATGACAAAAAATGGACACAGAAGGAAAAGGACAAGCTTTCTACCATTTAATATAGATAAATAGTGTGGTGAAGGGCATCAATCCCAGACAGAAAATGAAATTGCCACCAAGAAGAGGGAATTTCTAGGGCAGCATTTTAGTTAACTCATGCAGTACATTGAAGTAATGCCTTTCAAATATGAACTTACATTTCCCTGCTAAAGACTGGAGCAGGTCACCCTAGAAAAATTGTGGAACCCTGGGCATTGGGAGTTTGACTTCATCTTACCTGGGAGTGATTGAAGACCCTGTCTTGAGATGCGAGAGAAGAACGGGCTGGGATGTGAGGGTACCTTCCAGCCTTTTTCCGTGGCTGTGTGAGGATAGCTTGTACCACTTGATTATTTTGGGGGGGGGGGGGGGGGGGGTGTGTGTCTGTTTTTTTTTTCTTTTGTAATGGCCAAATAATGGTAACAAGATTAGAAAATTGCATGATTCTTAGTAATATGTTACTGAAAATGTAATGTAGCTCGTGGAATGGTTGCAATGAGCTGCAAAAGTATTAAAAGCATATTTTTACAGAAAAATCAGTCACTGAATACAGAAAAGGAATATATCTTAAATCACTTTTCAATCATAACAGTATTGTTTTTTGAGAAATACCCAATACTTGCTTATGTTCAGACTACAACACACTCACCTCTGTAGTCACCTCTTGTAAAAAGCTAAAGTTCAGTGCAAGAGGAGGTGTGCTTATTTCATACCTGTATCTGCATAGTGACAGCTTACTTCTGTTTCAGCTTCTGCACACAAGTATACTGTATTCTGTTTGCAAACAAACCCAAAACTCCATTATTAGCATTCATCAGGCTTGCTAATGGCATGTTGTTTTGAGCCATACAGAATGATGATGATGTTTTCCTAATATTCTATAACCTATTTTATTGCAGTATAATTACTTCGAGTGAATAGCATTAGTGTGTTATTGGTTTTGTTGTGGCTTGACTTATATCCTGAGAAATCATGTGTACTTTTTTTTCCTCTTGTTTGTTTTGCAGTCTTACTTGCCCCTGCTCAGTTCTTCATTGGTTTAAATTAGTTATGTGCTATAACTGCACAATTACCAAGCAGAAAAACCTGCATAGGAGCCAGCTGTCTGATTCTATGACTCGAATTTTCTTGTAGTGATTGGAAATAAAATGGCAAATTTACTTCTTTTTTTCACTTTTTCATTTGATAATAGTTATTTCCATTTATTCGGATGACAAGCCCTTTACTGTGTTTTGGTTTGTTTTATTCACTCTCTCACACATTAAACTGTAAATGTCTCTACTTTCCTCGTCACAAATGTTTTCCGTGTTTCCTGGATGAGTTTGTTGACCTTAAGTGGCTGCATGGCTGTTCCTCTTACCTTGTTTTTAACAGCTGTAATAACTGTTGTGTCTTGCTTTAGGTTCCCAATCCTCGGTTCCCTTTTCTGGGATTTCACTTCACACCAAGAATGGATGGCAGTGTGTGGCTTGGTCCTAATGCAGTATTAGCCTTTAAGAGAGAGGGCTACAAATTGCTTGACTTCAACACTGGAGACTTTTTAGATGCTGTATCGTACAGGTACTATCTTGTCTTTTTGTCTGCTGAACACAGTTATTTTCATGTCATTAGATGTCAGCTTGCGACTCCACGGAAGCTAATTCTTGTCAAAAAATCTGCTTTTAACAAGCTTTTTGTGTTTTTAAAGACAGATGTGCTGATGAGGGCAGACTTCTTCAAGACACTTGACTTGATGTGAGCTAATATTTTAATTTTCATAAATTACCAAGACATGTCTCAGCTGGTCTGAGAATGTGCCTGCTCATCGGAAGGGACTGGTCCGCCATGTTGCTGCTACTAGACCTCTTCTAGGATTGGTTTTTGTCCAATGCAGTGTAATATTTTAATCAGCCTTGACAGCGTGATTCAAATACTTGCAGGAGATGCTTGGAAGAGGAACATGGAGTGGTCTGAACTGCCATGTTAAACTTTATGAGACCATCAGTATACATTTAAGAAAGGTCCAAATGCCAAAGAAATAATGTTAAGGGCCATGAATGGAGGCCAGGAAGCTGTCTTAGAAAGCATGTTAGAGAAATTGGGAATCATTGCCAAAATAGCAAACATAAATGAACAGAGTATCTCTGGAAGTTGAGACAAATTTTGCTTCTCTATGAGAGGCTGAACAGACCATGACAAAGTGTTCAGTTTTTTAGAAATTAGACTTGAAAAAGTAAATACTGGGGAGATCCAAGGAGAGGCTGAAAAACAGGTCAGAGAACTGCAAAGTGCCTTTCTGGCAACCAGCTCAACTTAATGCAGTTTATTAAAGAGTTGAAAGCATAGTGATTACTGTCTGTAGAATTTTATACTGGAAGACTTGAGGAAAGCAAAGCAAGGAAACAAGATTTGCAAAGACATAGCAAGATTCATTGGCCAAAAACTGAAGAGTTTAGGAGTGTGGTGATCTTGTCAGAATGACTGTGGAAAAAAAAGGCTCAAGCAGTATGTCTGCCTTCCTTCAAGCACATGGGATTTCAGTCTCTTGCCATTTGACTGGACCAGAGAAAAATCCTGGACATAGAAAGGACTGGAGTTCATAGTTAATTTTCAGAGAAAGAATGTAAAGGCAGTACACCTCTGTAAGCAAGGTTTGTTGAAGCAGGGAAGGACAAACGTATATTTCTCAAGTAGGAAGCATGATCAGATTACTGATGTTAGGAATGGGAGCTTTAGCCATGTAGTTGGATTTGATACTGTCTTAGTGTTAGTTTGACATGGCTGCATTCATTCTGGAAGATTTGTTCTTACTGCAGTTATTTTTTCTCTCTACAGTGGGTTGTGGAAGCTCGTGCTGAGAAACGTGTCTTACGGACTGAGTGAAATGTACAGAGCGTGTTTCCTGAATGCACAGGTGAAGCAACTGCAGAAGTTCATCCCTGAGGTCACTGTCAATGATGTACTCAGGTAAAGAAAACTTTTCTTGTAAGATACACGCAGTGTTACTACACTGTTAAATCTCTTTTTTAACAGCAGCAAAGGTAGCATTAGCTTTCTCCCTCCACCAAAATATGCTACCAAAGCATTGAAGCATTTCCATACTTTCAACAGGAAGGCCTTTTGTGTTTGCTTGTGTACAGGCAAGTTTGATGAATATGTGTGTAACTTTCTGCACCCTCCATAGGCTGAAATTCACAGTTGTGACATATTCACCAAAAAGCAAGACACTGTATCCTGGTGACACATTCAGTAGCCTGAATATAATCTGAGTTCACAAAGAAAGCAAAACACTGATGAAATTCAGAGAAGCCAGACTGAGTTGCTATTGGGTGAATACTGACTTAGTTTCATCATCTCAATAAAACGATATTCAGCTTCTTACTGTGTGGAGAGAGAAACCAATCCAGGGGAGTTGTTTATAAATGCTAAGGAACTGAAGAGACTTGTGAGGAAAGATGAGGCATTTTAAATACATAGGGGTGGATCTAACTGTCCAAACATTTTCAGGGAGAAAATCCAGAATACAAAAAGCTGGAGCATGGTAAAAGGGACTTATCCAGCTCAGGCACTATACCACTGGCATGAAATTTGTGTTTGACAAGGCTTGCTATTTCAAAACAAAGGGAAGGGTTTCCGTTTTGAAAAGACAGGGCATGTTTGTGTTTGTGGGGAGGAGAGTAACTTCACAACCAGGAAAGATACAGAAGAACCTCTGCTTGGCTACCTGCCCTCATTTTATAGTAATGACTGCAAGACATCTCCTACTCTGTGTCACAAGTGTTAAACTTCCTTGTGCTCCCTCAGAAGCCTCACTGGGCTTTGACTCCATGGTCTGCCTTTCTTATTGTTTGCCTGGGCATGTTTACAAGGTCATGATTGATTTCCTGACTTCAGAAAACATTTTCTTTCTAATGGTGAGCTCCTCCTTTATTTTGCAGGGGTCCATCTGGAGTGAGAGCTCAAGCATTGGACAGTGATGGAAATTTGGTGGATGACTTTGTGTTTGATGGAGGCAGTGGAGATCTTGGAAGCAGAATTCTTCATGTCAGAAATGCCCCTTCTCCTGCTGCTACCTCCTCCCTTGCCATCGCAAAAATGATTGCAGATGAAGTGAAGCGAAGGTTTGAATTATGAATGATTGACAGGTGTAGTGGGGTTCTACGCCTCTTGTATGTGTAGCATCTTATCTGCATTGAATGAACTCCACAGCCTTTAATGACAAAACAGGCAAAGTGTCACTTGCAAGACCAGCACTGGTATAGCAAACACAGTATTTGAAATGTTTGCCTTTGCCAGCCTGCAACTTCTCAGCTTCATGAGTACAGGAGTTGTGGTGCCTGGTCAGGCCTGGTGTGTTACAGCCGTCTGCAGGAAAGAAACAAACAGCCCTGTTAGCAGTAAAGGTTTGTTCACCTGAGCAGGAACAGCCTGTGGAGGGGCTGGTGCCACATGCAATGTGAGGGTCTCTTCAACTGTAGTGGGCCTTTAGGTGAAGCAGGAAGAGCCTCTGTGGTGGGGTTGCCCACACGGACTTCCCATTCCTCAGGTCTGAACACTGCCTTCTTGTTGCTCTCTGGAGAGCTGGTTGGTCCTCTGAAAAACCGCAGGCATGGAGTGGTTCTCTGTGTGCTTTGACTCTGACTCCATTTAAATTGGAGTCTACAGTCCCCTAGCTTACATTAAATTAATGGAGATAGAAGGATAAGCCCTGCTTAAAGGTTCTGCTGATGTAGAATTAAGGGCTTTATCAGAGACTCAAAACAATATTCAGAGCCTTCTACATGAACATAGAGTATTACGCAGTAAAATAAGCCTAACAAGGGATTACCAAATACAAGTCAATTTAGATACTCATCAGATATGCTATCTGATCACTGTCTGTATTTTTCTTATAAAGCTGAAATTAAAATGTATACATAAACAGTTATTTTTTATTTAACTTAAATCTGGGAAGTCAGCACTGATCAGAAACTTTGATCTTTGGGGTTGGGTTTTTTTTCCATTTGAATACAGGTAATGCAAAAGGAGCTTATCTTTGTGCAGCATGTTGAGCAATCCGGTGGAAATGGTCTTTGTAAAAGCAAATGTGAAGGGAGGGAAGCTACAGAAACCTGTCTTAATTGAGTCATGTTGCATACTGCTTCCTTTGGAGCCCAAACAGCAATGAGTCAGAAAGGCTCCCATTTTCCACATGCCTGGCAAGAGGGGAGTGTAGAAGGTGCTAGTTACTCTTCTGGGCTTTTACTGATACTTGCAGTTTTATGAAAGGTTCACCTGGAAGAGTCTTTGTGGAGACCATGCTTTAAACTCAGGAGAGATGTTCAGCAAGTTTGGTACTAAGCTAACTGAGTTGGCATGTTCTGCATAATTGCTACAAAAAAGAATTATGTGGCCCCAGGGACAAAGTACTTGAGAATACTTTTAAAGCAGATGTTCACAGGATGTTGGGTAATACAGATAATTGTGGGTAGTTTGCTACCAGGCAATTTGCCATACTGTTTTTTTAAAGTTATGTTCTGTACTGCTCTGATAGGCACGAGGGAGTGCGTTAGCACAGGAGCTCAGGTGTGCTAGCTGATGTTTTTATTGTACAGAGCTGAGCCGCTTTTGAGAGAGAAAGGGCTTAACCTATCTTTATTTAACTTTATTTTTTCCTGGTGACATCTACTTTACAAGAGAAGTGACTCCTGTATAAGGACAACCTGGAAATTCAAGTAATAAGCCCTTCAAAGAAAGCTTTGGACATTATTCTTGGCCACACCACTAGACAGATTCAAATATTCCGAATGCTAAAATGCCATAAGGCTGTGTAAAAGTTGTCTTCACAATGGAACAATCATATCTTCACTCCCCACCAGAAGTGTTGCCTATCAACAGTAAATACTACAAAAGGATTGCAAAAGCAACTTCCTCCCACATGAGGTGTGGCCCTAACATGTATTAACAGAATAAAGAACATTAAAATGTAAAGCAGTCACATACTGTGGTGAATTGTAAGTCAGCACATTTAACTGGGCTTTTTTAACTCTCAGGACATGATTATTTTGGGGCAGAGTTTAACCGAAGCTTTTAAATTATGAATCTTTATGTAGTGTTCTGTGAAATGTTTACATATCTGGAGATAAAGTTGTAAACTTTTTTTAAAGGAATAACTTCAGAGAATTATGATAATGGAGTTTCAAACATAAATCTTGCCCACAAAGTGTGAAAATGTATGAATGTGTTTTCCAGAGGGGTCTAATTCACTTGAATGAAGCCACTGCACCTTTCTCTATTATGATTAAAATAATGGTTTGGGTTGGTGGGTTTTTTTAGTTGCTGTGAAGTCTATGTATTTCTCCTGATTTACAGAAAAGTTTCTTTGATAACTTGCTAATCCTTACCTGAATTAGGTAGGGTATAGCTCTATATAATAGGAATTACTTTATTTGGGGGGAAACACATGGCCGAACTTGTCTTCCTAAAGTGCCTGTATCTTATATATGCTTATCACACCTCACAGCATTTTCTGACACCAGTATGTATGTGCAGACAGAATGAGTCTTAAGCCTGACCTGGACCTGTAGTGGCATGTGGAATGGTAATTTTTGAAATTCTGAATAAATGCATCAGGACAGCTTTGGACAAAAAGTTTATTCCACAAAAGTGTCCCCATATGGTCAGTCCTAACCTGTGAGCAGAGTATGGCATATTGGATCATTTTAAAAATGCTGCAAAGAAATGATGTAGTGGCCTATGTCACAGCTTACTGGGTGGCTGCTCTTGGGAAAAGGAGCTCCTTTATGGCCTGTGTTGTGTCCAGTCACCACTGCCACACCTCAGAGTAGTTCAGGCTGCCTGGAGAACAGAGAAATGTCACATCCTGAAGAACATGGCCATCTGGTTGCTGTGAAGGTGGGGACAGAGCTCTAGGTGAGGGGCTCACCCAACCTGCAACATCTGCTTCCAGGCTGTTCATCCTGGCTGCCAGAACTGCAGGTCTGGAGATGTCACCACTGTTACCCTGAAGCAGCATTTGGGATTAGCTGTTTTCTTTCTGCTCAAGGTTTGGGTTTGATGAAAAAGCATCTTCCCACAGAAATACTGCATTGGAAACCTCCAAGACTGCCGTGATGTGTTGGGAAGGTTAACACTACAGAGCAACAGGAGCTGCTGCTGCCTCTGCAAGGACCTCTCTCCTCCGAGAAGTCTGCCATAACAAAGAATCACAATCCTCGTGGTAGAAAGGCACTTACTTTTCCTCATTTAATTTATCCACTCCCTTTGTAGACCAGTCTTGCAAGGCAGGGGGTGGGGAATATCTATAAGGAGTGAGATTTGATTACGAATGAATCATAGAATCCCAGAATGGTTTGAGTTGGAAGGGACATTAAAGATCATCCAGTTCCAACTCCATGCCACAGGCAGGGACACCTTGCACTAGACCAGGTTGTGCCAACCTGGCCTTGAACATTTGCAGGGATGGGGCAGCCACAGCTCCTCTGGGCAACCTGTGCCAGTGCCTCACCAGCCTCAGGGTGAAGAACTTTATCCCTTTCTTCCTAATAGCTAATCTAAATCTAGCATCTGTCAGTTTAAAGCCATCCTATCTTGTCCCTTCCCTACAGGCCCATGTCAAAAGTGTTAGGGTCCCAGTGCTGAACACAGGACTGCATGTGGGGTCTCACCAGAGCGGAGCAGGGGGAAGAATCACCTCCCTTGACCTGCTGGTCATGCTGCTGTTGATGCAGCTCAGAGCTCGGTTGGCTTTCTGGGAGTCAAGCGCACACTGCTGAGTCATGTTGAGCTTCTTGTCAACCAACACCCCCATGTCCTCCTCAAGGCTGCTCTAAATCCAGTGCTTGGCATTGCTCAAAACTTGCAGGACCTTGCAATTGGCCTTGTTGAACCTCATGAGGCTGGCACTGTCCCACCTCTCCAGCCTCCACAGGTCCCTGTGGATGGCATCCCTTCCCTCCAGTGTGTCAACCACACCACACAGCTTGGTGTCAGACTTTCTGAGTGTGCACTTGATCCCATTGTCCATGCCACTGACATGATGTTAAACAGCACTGGTCCCAAAACCAGCCCCTGAGGGAAAGTGTGGGTGGGGGTGGAAGGAACAGCAACAGCCGGTGTTCTGCAAGGTGCAGAGGAAAACTGCTTCGAGGTGGGGAGAAAATCAGCCTTGAGGTGGGGACGCTGGTGCTGGGAGCTCATTCAGCACTGCCGCTGCTGCGGTTCCTTCTCTCAGGACGGTGGTTCTGGTTGAGCCTTGCACAGGGTGAGGGAAGGGAAGGATGGACCTGGAGGTCCTGCAGAGCCGGTGGCAGGAGCAGGCTGACTGAGGGTGCGACAGCCCTTGCAGCCTCGCACGCTGGAGAGGGAAATGTCGCGGGAGGGTCGCGTCCAACAACAAGCGGCCACCCAAGACCTCAGGGTCGTGGCGCGGGGCCGCCGCTCCGCCCCACTCCCCGTCAAGGACCTGACTCGGCCGTGCCCCCGCGGCTGCAGCGCTGGACCTCCCCGGCGGCACGGCCAGCAGGGGGCGCCGCGGTAGCGGGTGGGGGAGGGCAGAATGGTGGCGGCCGCGCATGCGCGCGGAGGGCGCCTGCGGTAGCGGGGCCGCAGCGAGCGGGGCCGAGGCGCCTCACCCGCCGCCCCGTCAGCGCACGGCGGGCGGCCCGGAGCCCGGCCCCTCCCGCGCCGGATGTGATGGCCGCCCGGGCGGGGGGGTGAGCAGCGAGCCTGCGGCGGCCGAGAGCCCAGCGCGGCCCGGCCCAGCTCTGACGAGCACCAGCGGCGGCTTCTCCTTCCCCTCAGCGCCCCCACCGCGTTGTCTCCCCTCTCTCTTCCCCCCATGCCCCGGGCGCTGTAGCCGGCGGGGAGCGGCGAGGCGGGCGGCCCCGATGCGGAGGAGCCGCCGGTGGGCGCCATGCAGCCGCCGCCGCAGCCGTACGAGTTTTTCGGCGAGGAGAACGGCCCGAAATGGCGGGGGCTCTTCGTGCCCGCCCTGCGCAAGGTCAGTCCGCCGCTGGCGGAGGCTGGGGGTGGTAGCGGGCGGCACCTGCGCCTCACGCCGCGCTGCGGCCCCCGGCCCTAGGAGCGCCCCTTCCCCGCCCCTCTGCCGGCCTCGGGCCGCTCCGCAGTGGGGGCAGTGCCCATCCCGCCGCACTGGCTGTGGTCGGACGCGAAGCTCCGGTGCAGATGCCCATGACTCCGGCAGCCCTCTCGGACAGAGCAGGGACGTCTGGACCTTTGCTTGCAGTGCCTCTGCCCTTCCCGGCTCCTCCGTCCTGCTCCTTCGCACCGTGTGCTCGCCCGTCCCGGCAGCCCGGCCTCGGCGAGCAGAGGTTGAGAGGGGACCCCGGAGTTCTCCTGCCTGCCCCCGCTCGGGAGGGGTCGTCCGCGGCAGTCACCCGCAGCAGGGTGCCCGGGCTGCTGTCTTGCCTCCGGTGCTTTGTGTGAAGATGCTGCCCGGTGGCAGTGTGTGCCGAGCAGGCTCTGCTCCTGTCACAGGCTGCTGCTTCTCCTCCTTAACTAGCAATTGCTAAAAGTGCCGTCCCTGCCTTCTCAATGGGGCCGCTGGTTTTGAGGCGGTTCATACTACTGATTTGCCTTCGGGATGTGCTGTTGGAAGGGCAACCTTCCATCCGTGGCATTTCTCCAGACAGCTCCTCCATGCCCTTTCCGGGACCACGCTCACTTGCTGACCAGCCAGGCGAGATGCTGCTCATATGCTGCCCATTGCAGTGCCAGTCTGTTGATTAAACAGCCGTGGCGGAGGATAAAGACAGCCTGTGTTTTATTAAGAAACAACTACGTGCTGCATAAGTGAGATAAAATGTGTGGGAAGCCACTTAGCGTGTCATGGGAGAAGGATTTATCTTTTTATAGTGTTTTTTTGCACAGCAGGGTAGTGCCCAGCACATCA